CGGCCGGGCACTGCCACCAGCAGGGCATCACGGAGCAGAAGCGAGGGCAGCTCGCTGCTCCGCCGTGCCCGGAGGTGCCATGGGCAGGGGAGCTCGGCCAGGCCGCCTGGGGAATCTCAGCACCGGGGCTCAGCGCCCCTGGGAGGCTGGGGGCTGCGTGGGGCTGGGGGCGCGGCGATTTCCCCGTCAGCCGCGGAGGTTTTGCAGGCGGCCGTGTGGGAGGAGGCAGGAGCTGCAGTGGCTCCAGCTCCAGCTCTGCTTCCTTCCCGGCTGCCGTTAACTGCTTGGTGCCCGCCGTGCAGCGCTGCTGCTGCTCCTCCCGGCCCACAGAGGCTGTGGCCAGCAGCCGGGGCCGAGCGGTGCCCCCCTTGGAGGGGCTGTGAGCAGCCAGCCCCGCGGGGCCAGCTGGCGGCGTGGGGCTGCAGTGGGGCAGGGGAATTCCCCTGCACTTGGGCTTTTCTCCAGGTTCCTGCAGGTCTGAGACCCTGGGAGCCCGCAGGGTGGGCGTTGTGCTGATGGAGGTGGGCTGGCTCTGGATGGGCTGTGGTGGCCAGGCCAGGCTGCCCAGGCTGGTGCGACTCGTCTGTGGCTGTGCTGGGGACATGAGCCAGGCCCCAGAGCCCCTGCCGTGGCCGGGTCAGAGCTGGGGATGTCTCCAGGCTTCGGGGAGAGACGTGACAGCCACTTTCTGCTCCCCACCCGTGGGGCAGAGGACGGATCTGCCCCATCCCTGTGGGGTGAGCAGGCAGATCCTGGCCCCCAGCCCCGTGTGCCGGCTGCTGCGCCCTGCGTGGGGCTGCGTGGGGCAGGGTGGGCTGTGGCACGGGGCAGGGTGGGCTGTGGCACGGGGCTGCGGGGGCCACGGTGCCGCACGCCCCATCAGCAGGCCCACGGGGGCTGCCCGCCCCCAGGCGCTGTGAGATGCAGGCTCAGCCTCATCAGTATTCCTGCTGTGTAGCTGCAGAGCCCGGCAGCTCCTGGCACAGCGCCGGGTGCTCCCGCAGCGCAGGCGGGCTGGGCTGCCATCCCGCAGCGTGCCCCCAGCCCCTCTGCTCCGCTGCCCTGGCCTGGGACGGGCTGCAGGGTGCACGCTGCTGGTCCTGGGCACCCTGCAGCCTGCCGTGTGCATGGCTTTGTCACCGTGCCCTGTCCCCTGCCCATGTCCTGGCAGCACTGCGTGGGTCCCTGCCCATGGTCCCACCGCTGGTGTGGGTTGCCCGGGGGCTGCCGGCCTCAGGCACTTGCTGCAGCCCCGTGGCCACGTCCCCCTGTGCTTGGTGGGGTCTGCTCTGTCCTGGTCTGCTGCCAGCATCTGCCAGGGGCTGGTGCCTTATGGTTCAGTCAGTGCTGGGGTCTTGTCCCTCTGTCCCCAGCTGCCGGGGTGTTCTTGCAGCCCTGCCAGCCCCGGGGCCGTGCTGAACGCGGGGCTTGCTGCAAGGTGCCTCCAGATGGGCCCCTCTGCAGAGCAGCACCCTGAATGGAGCGGGGTGGGGACAGCAGCTGTCCCAGGTGAATCGCCTGCTTGCAACCAAACCTCTGCATCTGCTCGCAGCTGGAGCAGCAGCAGCAGTGCTGGTCGGTCCTGGAGGGGCGAAGCGGAACAGCTGAGCCGTCACGGGTCAGACTTTTTTCCAGGGGCCCCACCCTGGACTTGATGGGCTTACTGGGGAGCAGCCAGCAGTGGAAAGTTCCCTAGTTTTCCGACTGACTTCCAGTGCAGCTGTTGTTTAGCCTCTCATGTCTTTTGTTAATTTAAGCCAGATGTTCGTTGCCATAATGTTTGCAACAGGGCTGTGACTCATAAAAGTCCTGCTAAGAGACTGACTTCCTTCTGTCCCCAGGCACCTGCCCTGGGTCAGGAGCACACAGGCACGATGTCCCTGTTGCATCCCGCTGCCAGGGCTCCTCTGGACGTTCTCATGGCACGGGGGACTGGGTAAGCAGCCTTCCAGGAGCATGGTGATCCCTGCTGGTGAGCTCGGATAGTGTCACCTTCCCGTGCAGTACTCACAGGGACACTCAGAGTGGCCTGCCTGAGAAGAGAGGCTCACAGACAAGGAGAGGTGCATCGGGCATATTGCAGCAGTGACTGTCCCTAAGCACCAGTGGCTTCCTTCATGGTCCCGTTCCCCATCGCTCTCTTGCAGCTGAGCCAGCCGGAGCTGCCCTCGTGCCAGCCCCTGGGGTGCCGGTGCCGGGCTGCAGCCCTGTGCCGCCAGAGGTTGTGTCTCAGGCTGCCTTCTTCTGGTTTATTTTTAGATGTCTCTTGTTCTTTCTGCAGGAATAGTGCCAAGGGGCTTTGTATCAGTGCTGTAGCATATAGAGCCCTTGCCTCATAACAGGCTAATTAGGTAAAAATATCCTCATGATGTTACTGTTGTAAAGGCAAATACCTTCTTGGGATATAGCAGCGCAAATCCCTGAGAAGCACGCTCAGTTTTTGTCTTCCCCGTGCTGCAGGAGGCCTCAAGTGAATCTTGTGCCAAGGTTCTGGCACCGCAGCTAAAAAGCAAAAAAAAAAGAGGTGGTAGACAGGGTAGAGAATTGAAAGGAGGGCATTTAAAACAAGTAGCTGTAAAAATGTGATCAGGAACAGGAGACGGGGTCAGGCTATGGGGAACTTGCTGCCTCTGAGCGTTGGTGGCTGCAGAGCTGCAGTCTGCTCCGCGTGTCAGACCTGGCCGTGGCAGGAGAAACCAGCCTGGAAGGGGGGTCTGGGGCAGGCACCGCGAGGAGGAGGAGGGTGCAGGGTGATGAAGGCAGCAGCGGGCTCGGGGAGGCTGTTGGAGGTGGGTCAGGCGCCGTGTCCTGAAGCCCTTCCCAGGGTTATTTTTGTGGCTCAGCGATCCCTCCGTGCCCAGAACTTACCAGAATTTTTCGGAGCGATCGGAGCTGTGCAGAAGGTGCACCATCTGGCGTCGTTAAAGTTAAACAAGCCCAAGATTTTGGGAGGGGATGAGCGGAGACGGCCGTGCTTCGTTACGTGAGCAGCTCCCGAGGGCTGGGAGCGCGGCTGTGCAGACGGCTGTTGGCAAGGACCCGGGGAGGTCATTAGTCTCGTTTCCTGCCCGAAGGCTGATTACCTGGCTCTGAATTAGTCCTGACAGCTGTCTGTCCGATCGATTCTGACCTCTCCGCTGACGGAGACGCCGTGATCTCCGCAGACAGCCTGTTCTGGTGCTCGGCTCCTGTCAGAAGCCATTCCTCGTAACCGCTGCCTGCGGTGCTCCCTGCTCCTGCAGGGCACCAGACGGCGGGGGCGAGGGTCGATCCTGGCAGCCCGTGTGCTCCTGTGACCTTGGCACAGACGGCAGGGCCGTGTCTGGCGGGTTCCCAGGCGCCTTCTGCTCAGCTCCAGGCACCGCTGGCCGGGCAGAAGGGGAGCTGGATGTGTCCCATCGTCGTCCGGAGCGCTGGCACGCTGCGGGGACAGGCGGCTGCTGGGTGATCCTCGGTCTAGAGAGCTGCTCACAGAGCAGCTGGGAGAATGCGCCACAGAACGGGGGTGTTCGTGTCTGAAAGATGCAGAGAAATAAGGGAAGAAAAGAAGCAAAGGGGAGAAAAGGCCCTGGGACTAAAGGAGGGGGCTGCTGGATGCAGCTTCGCTTCTGCCCTGTGCTGATGGTGGGCTCGCTCCTGGGGGCTGGGAGAGCCTGGGGGATCACAGTCACAGAACCATCCAGGTTGGAAGAGCCCTCCAAGGTCACACAGTCCAACCTCTGACCTAACACTAACAGTCCCCACTAAACCATATCCCTAAGCTCTACATCTAAACGTCTGTTAAAGGCTTCCAGGGATGGTGACTCCACCACTTCCCTGGGCAGCCCGTTCCAGTGCCTCACAACCCTTTCGGTAAAGAAGTTCTTCCTAACATCCAACCTAAAACTCCCCTGGTGCAACTTTAGCCCATTCCCCCTCATACAGGGGGACGATCACCTCCCTAGTCCTGCTGGTCACAGTGTTTCTGATACAAGCCAGGATGCCGTTGGCCTTCTTGGCCACCTGAGCACACTGCTGGCTCATATTCAGCCAACTGTCCACCATCACTCCCAGGTCCTTCTCTGCCTGGCAGCTCTCCAACCACTCATCTCCCAGCCTGTAGCTCTGCTTGGGGTTATTGCGCCCCAGGTGCAGGACCCGGCACTTGGCCTTGTTGAACTTCGTGCAGTTGGCCTCAGCCCATCGGTGCAGCCTATCCAGATCCTCCTGCAGAGCCTTCCTACCCTCGAGCAGATCGACACACGCACCTAGCTTGGTGTCATCTGCAAACTTACTGAGGGTGCACTCAATGCCCTCGTCCAGGGGAAGGGGGGCCGGGCGGCGGGGCTGCACCCCCGGGAGCACCGGGGGGAGCGGGGGGCAGCCCCGGCCGGCTCTCCCGGGGCATGCAGCGGCGGTGCGGTACCGGCTGCGGGCCCGAGCCCCGGCACCGGCTCCGGCTCCGGATCCGAGTCCCCCGCCGCGGGTGCCGAGCACGGAGCGGCCCCGGCCCGGCCCCGCCGCCCGCACCGCGGCGCTGCCGCCCCCTGCCGGCCCCGCGCGGCCACCGGCGGGGGCTCCGGGCTGAGGGGGGCGGCGGCAGCGCCGCCGTGCCCGTGGCCGGGGCCCCGGTGGCGGAACAGCGTTGGCTGGGGGGGGGTCCGGTCCGACCCCGCTGCGGGTCCGGGGGGCTCGCGGGGAGCTCCCGGGGCCGGGGGGCGGCGGGGGCCGAGCGGGGCCGGCCCGGGAGGGCTCCGCGGGGCCGGGGCCGGGGCAGTGCCCGCCCGGTGCCCGCTGCCCGGCGGCCCCGGGGGGGGGGCGCGGCGGCGCGGGGCGGCCCCGTTCCCGTCCCCGGCCCCATCCCCGTCCCCGGCCGTGTTCCGGGGCGGGCCCGGCCCCGCCGCCCGCGGCGCTCGGGAGCGCGGCCCGGGCATGCCGGCGCGGCGTGGGAGCCGGCGGGCGGCGGGCGGCGCGGGAGGGGGGTGGGGGGGCGGCCCGGCTGCGCCGCGTGCCCGGGGCCGGGCGGGCGAGAGCGGCGGGGGGCGGCCGGGGGCCATGGGGCAGCCCCGCGGGTGACGATGTCGGAGGGCCGGCACCGCGGCGAGGCGGCCCGGGGCCCCCCGCGGCCGAGCCCCCGCCGCGCCGTCAGCGTCTGCGAGTCGCTGGACCTGCAGGGCGTCCCCGCCGTCCAGGCCGCCCTCGGGGCCGCCCAGCAGCAGCGCCGCCGGCCCAAGAGCTTCTGCGCCGCCGGCAACGGGCTGGGGGCCGGCGCCCCGCTGCCCCCCGCCGCCCCCGGCCGGGCCCGGGCCGGGCTGCTGGACCTGCTGGGGCTGCGCTCGCCCCGCAGGCGGGAGGCGGCGGGGGGCGAGGGGTCGCCGCCGGGCTCGGGGGTCGGGGGCTCGCAGCGGGCGCGCCCCAGCAGCATGACCTTCCTGCCCGCCGGCCGCCCGCAGCACCCCGCCGACGGCCCCGGCTTCCTGCGGGGAGGCTCGCTGTGGGGCAGCCGGCGCTGGAACCTGTTCGGGGGCAGCGGCCGGAGCAGCCCGAGCCCCAGGAAGAACCTCAGCGCCCTGCGCAAGAGCTTCAGCTTCCGCCTGCGGCGGGGCCACGAGCTGCGGCGCTCCGAGTCGGGGGGCCTGCTGCGCCCCGCGCGCCTCCGCACCAAGAGCGAGGGGGACGCCAGCTCCCTGCACACCTGCCCCAGCAAGCGCGACCTGCTGTACCCGGAGCTGGCCCGGGTCGGGGGCGGGCTGCACGCGGACCCCGGGCAGCCGGGGGGACTCTGGAGACTCCTCACGAGCCGCTTCCGAAGGCGAGAGCGCGGCGGCACCGGCGGCGCCTGCCCCAAGGAGCCCCATGGAGGTGCTGACCCCGTCCTGCTGGGCAGTGGCCCACTGCGAGCCCTGGGTAAGTGAGCGCCGGAGCGGCGCTGGCCCGGAGAGAGCAGAGGGTGGCGGTGGCCTGGCCCTGCTGGGGTCCCTGGGCTGTCTCGGTGCTGTGCGGGGTGCGCACTCAGGGAACTGGGCTGCAGCGAGGGAGCGTGGGCGTTCGTGGGGCCGTCTGGTGCCCCAGCGTGCTGGTGCCACTGTCACAAGCGCTGAAGGAGCAGCGGTGGCCAGCTTGGAGGAGATGCTGCAAGGAGTTCCTTCCCTCCTTGCCTAGCCGCATGGGTCCCACGTCCTCCTTGCCGTGTTGGTGTCCCAGCGAGGGCAGGGACAGCTGAGCCTTGTGCGGTGGGGTCAGGGCAGCAGGGGGAACTGAAACTCATGTCCCGCCTGCACGAGGGGGAGAGGGGTCCTGCTCCTGGGCAGGGGCTGAGTGATTTGGGAGGCCGCCAGAGCAGAGGCAAGGAGCAGCATGAGGAGCCGGGGAGCACAGCAGGGGCTCCTCATAGGGATTCCCGTCCTGTGAGCACTGCCCTGGTGCCAGAGTCTGCCTGGGCGCTGACTGCAGGGGTCTTACTGGGGGTGAGCGGGAGCATGGGGCGCTTGATGGGCGCAGGGCAGGCTGCAAAACGCTGTGGTGGCTCCCAGGTAACATGGCAGGGGGGGGACAGAGAGCAGGACCCCTGTGGGGACTGTGCCTGTGAAGGTCTGGTAGCTGAAGCTGCTGTTGCTTGCTTGGCTACCCGACCCCTGGGCCGTGCTGCGGGGTGTTGTGCTCCGGGTGTGGGGGCTGTGGGGCTGGCAGAGGCTCCATGGGGGCAGCGCTGCCTGCGCCTCCCTGCCCGGCCCTGTCCCTTGTTCCCTGGCACAAGCACGCGGGGCGAGCGGCGCTGCGCGGGGCCGGGAGGTGCTCAGCTCCCGCAGGCTTTTTAAGGCATTGAGCGCTGGGCGAGCAGAGCAGGGGGGCTGGGTTTGGGCCCTGCTGCTCTCCGTGCAGGCAGGGCAGCGCTTCCTGGCGCCCGCGAGCTGCTCTGGGCTTCCATCGCAGGGTTCCCGGGTCCCGGCATCGTGGAAGCAACTCCCCAGCTGTGTGCCAGAGGGGTGGATTTGGGCTGGGGGGCTCCCCGAGGAGCTGCGGGTACCCAGGGCAGCGCCGTGCCCGGGTGCTCCCCAGCAGGGCCGGCCCTGGGGCTGAGCGCAGGAGCAGCTCTGCTGCAGCCTGAGCGTCGCTGCCACACGGGTGCTGGCTGGGGAGCTCGAGGAGCTCGTTGCTGCCGGTCCCTTTGTCCTCGGGGCTCACTGTGCCTTCAGGTGAAGGACCGGGAGGAGCGCGGAGGCTCCGGCCGAGTGGCCGGGCCAGCCGTGGGGTGCCGTGGGGTGCCTGGCTGTGCTCCCCTGGGTGCGCTCCTCCTGCAGGGCCCCTGCAGCTGGCAGGGGTGCCCGGGGCCGGGTGCGGTGCTGGGGCTGGGTGGCGGGAGGTTCCCAGGCGAGGGGAGGCTGCGCTCATGGCTGGGGAATGTGGGTGTATCCGGGCAGGGAGGGCCAGGCCCTGCCCGTGCGGCAGGGGGCCTGTTCCTGCTTGCCGGCGGCTTCCAGCAGGAGCTGCGCCAGCAGCCGCCAGCCCGTCTGCTGCATTCCCAGGGGAGCAGCTGAGGTTGCTTGCTGGTGCCCGTGTCCTCGCCCCTCACCTGGCAGGGACAGGTAGGGGCTCCCGTTGGGTCCATCTGCTGGAGAGCCTGGCGGGGCTTTGCCTGGGCACTGGAGAGGGCACGGAGCCCTCTCTGGTGGCAGTCAGCCGGCTGATCCAACACCACTGCTGGCCAGGGCTGAGCATTTCCCCCTGTGGCCTGTGCTGGAGCCTGGGGACAACCTTTCCTTTCCAGGCTGGCCAAGGGGCTGTCGCTCAGTGTGGCAGAGCAGGCGCCACTTGCCGGAGCTGCAGAGCTGACACTTCTGTTTGCTCTGTGCTCAGAGCACCGTTTGTGTCGGTACCTGCCTGGTTTCACCTCGCTCAAGATGCGCTCTGCTGTGTCAGTGAGATGTGAAGGAGCAGCCGTGATGTCTGCAGACTAAAGCTGCTCCTTGTCCTGTTCTACACGTCCCATCTCTCCACGAAGCGCCTTGCTCCACGGGCTCTGGCTCAGGGGCAGCTCTGAGCCTCCAAGCCGGGAGGCTGCAGGCCGGACACGGACAGCCTCAGCGCTGCTCCAGCGTGGCCGTGCTGGAGCTCTGTGCCCTGCTCCTGTTTCAGACGTGTGGGCCAGCAGTGTTTGTAACACACGCTCAGCACTTCAAAAACCTCGGTGCTTTATGCTAGCGCTGCCTACCTTAGCCTTAGGAAAGCTGCTAACGCAGTCCCAACATGCCCTCCCGAGGGGGTGCAGCTGCAGTTGCGGTTATCAGCTCTTTGGAGAAGTTGGGTAGATTCGTCCAGGCAGGGATCCAAGCCAACTTCGCTCCCCTGTTCCCAGTACTGGGAGAGTTTTGTTGATAGCAAGCCCAGGTACTGGCCCAGCTCAGTGCTCTGCCGTGGAGGCATTCCCAAAGGCCCGTCGGGCTCCGGGGGATGCTCCCAGTGCCTTCTGCCGGCCTTGCTGAGCCCTCTGGGCTCCGTTGGCTCCCTGCTGATGCAGGGCTCCAGCACAGGGAGGGACGATCAGGGCAAGGCAGAATTTGTTGCCTGAAAGCTGAAGAGCTTTTTGTGGTGTATCAGGATGGAGGCTGGCAGGGGATGTGATTTTCTGTAAATACAGCAAGGACGAAGCCCTTGGAGCTGGGACAAAGTCAGCACAAAGTCCGGCCACTGCGGGCTGACCACAGATAACGGCGGGCGGCTCAGAGGAACGTGTCCAGGTCTCAGCCAGCACAGTTCTGAAGGGGTGCGCTGACACAGGCTTGGGAAGGCTGGGCAGGTTGGGGTTGTTTCCCTGCTCGTGGAGGGATCGTGTAAGGGGTACAGCATCCCTGGCATCTGGGCTCTGCAGTTCAGGGAGTGTTCCTTGCAACCACATTGCCATCTTCCAGAAAGATGATTTGCTTTTAGAAGGTGCCTTAAGGTTTTGAGGTAGCTCCCTCTGCTCCTCTGCTTGGTGTTTGACGGTGCAGAGGACTAACGTGTAGGGTGTTGTGTGAGAGAGGAGTACTGGGAGAAGGGGAAGGTGTTTTTCCATTAATAAGGTGAAGTTTGCATAGCGAGCTGAGCAGATAATGATATGTATCGCCTCTTGTTAGTACCTGCCTGAGCTTAGCGGGGAGAGCTGGTGAGGAGCAAAGATGGCACGATGGGTTTGGAGACTGCCTGGGCCGCTGAGCCCAGCCTGGTGTCCACGCTTCAGAAAAACGGGGAAATCGGGAAAATGCCAAGGAAGGAGTTGTGGGGACACAGAAACACCTCATTCCCAGGGCAGGATCAGAGGATCCCTGGCTGGGAAGCCAGGGTGGGAGCCGATAACCGCACGCTTCTTCTCCAGAGGTACTCAGGAGTCTCTCCCGTCACTGCTGCTAAATATGCAAAGCTCTGCTGAGATAATCCTTGCGAAGAACACGTCCCACACACCATCTCCACACCGGCTAAGCTCTCTGGAGCAGCAGCCGTGTGTGTGGAGGCCCTCGGCCTGCAGAGCTCCCTCTCCCCGCCGGCATCGCCAGGCTCGAGGCTTTATCGAGCCCGGCCGGGAGGGGTGGCTCTGCCCAGGCTTGTAGCGCTCTGCTGCCCTTTTATCTGCCTGTGTGGGCAGGTGGGTACTTTGGAGCTTGGTTTGTGTGGGCACTTCTGTGTTTGTTCGGCCTCTGACCTGCTTTCGAAGCTGGTTTTAATGTCCAGGGTTTCAGTGTCCGAGTTCGTTCCCCAGCGGCTTGGATAATGAGGCGGTTAATTATTAGTTGCTGTGTGCGGAGACCCAGCTGTGTCTGGCACTCGCTGTCCTGAAGCACGAGGCAGGTGAACCTGCTGCACTTCGTGCTGCGAAGAGCTCAGTGCAAACAGCCCGGGCCCCTTCTGCGCCCAGCTTTGCAGTGGGTGTGAGCAGCCAGGGCTCAGCGCTGGCTGTGCTCCCACCAGGTGCTCGGTGCAGGCTGGTGGTGCCGCCGCGAGCACCCTCTGTGCTGGAGGGTTCAGCTCCTCCTTCCTAGCGTGTGATGCTCTTGTGGCCCCCAGCAGCGTCCTTCAGCCTCCTGGAGCAGAGATGCCTGTGCCGGGAGACCTCCCCGAGAGGAGGCTGTGGGCCCAAATCTCCTTTTCCAGGAGGGGTTGGGTCGGTCGCCTCTCTGGTGTGCCTCAGACCAAGGCCACCGTTTGGCTGTGCGAGGGCACTCAGCATCCAAGTGATGCCGTGAGGCCACCGCTGCTGCTCGTGAGCTCAGGTGCGCCTGGGGAAGGCATCCAGCCACGGGGCTGGCGGTCTGGGCTCTGCTCTATTATTAAATAACAAAGGAGAGGGAGGAAGAGTGGCTGGGTGTGTTTTAATGTGAAATCCTAAACAATACAGGTAGTCCGGCAGTGCAGCTAATCCAGTGAATCACCGCTCCCGTGTCTACACGAGCCCAGCGATGAGGGTGAGGACGGTTCACGAGGGCGTTCGCCCGGCTGGAGACAATCCGTGCGGAACGGGCTCGTGCCAAGGCGCTGGCACCGCGGGGAGGTGCTGACAGGGAACTGCCCGCCTGGCTTTTGGGTGGTGGCTGTTGGGCAGACCAGGTCATGATGTCTGCTGGCTTTGTGTGTGCTTCCCTGTGGTCGCTGCCTCTCCCCCGGAGGAGGCTGCGGTCGCTTCTTGCAGCAGGGATGGTGCCCGGGTGGCCGGCATCGCGCCCTGCCCCGCTCACTGCGGGATGCTTGCGGGGGGAACGGTGTCACCAGCAGGGACACCCCGCACCCCGCTGGATCTCCTTGCGTTAATGTGAACGTGTAACTGACGGGGACAGCGTGCGGTGGTGCAGAGCTCGGGCAGGTGAGAGGCAGGGAGCCTCCACGTGCTGCGGCTCAGCAGTGAGCAAGGAGCGCTCGGGGTGGCTGGAGCTGAGATCAGCGAGCTGTGTCAGCTCTTCTCATCAGGTTCCCTGGCCCGTGGCTGTTGTGGGTAGTTGAGAAACTGCTCTGGAGGTGCCTTTCTGACAGCTTCACGGATTTCATCCGCCCCTCCCGCGCACCGCGGCTGCTTTCACTTGCAGTGAGGAGGAGCAGGTGGATGGGCAGAGCAGCGCACGGTAACGCAGCCAGCAGGGCAGCTCCCCACAGCCGGGCACGGGGGCTGCCTGTCCCGGGGGGCCGTGGGGTGCGGGGTGACGTGGCTGCAGCTCCTGCTTGGGGCAGGACTACAGGGTGAGCCGTGGGGATGTCAGCACGTCGTGCCGGGCCGCGTGTGTCGGTGTGCAGGGAGAGGTGACCGGTGCGTGTGGGGAGCAGAACCGTGGGGTGTGAGGGTGGCTGGGTGGTGGGTTTGTAAGGCTGAGCTGGGGCACACACCGTGGCTGGCAGCGCAGAATTGGGTTGTGATCATGGTCCTTGGGGTTCTGGGCGAGCAAGTGGTCTTGAGGACCTTGTCTCATGGCGATTCTTCAGGTGCTGCAGGAACTGGGGCAGGAGGAGCTGTAGTGCTGTGGGTGCTGGTCGATGCAGACAAAGGCATTTGCTTTTCCTCTTCTAGAGGGCCAGAGCCAAGCTTCTCCCTGTGCTCTGTGAGGAGTACTGGAAGTGTGTGTGTGAGAACATTGCTCTGCTAACTAAGCCGTTTGGGGAACCTGACACTGACGCCTCCTGGTTATGAGAGTTTCAGCTTTCAGGGCATGGTTTATAAAGCCCCCAAACTCTGCTTGAAGGGCACGTGAGGCCCAAACTGAAGAACAACCAGGCCGGGACGCCCAGCCTCCTCACATCACGTCCCCGCTGTGTCCAGGCACTGCCGTGCTTCGTCACCAGTCCCGGTGGCAGAAGACCCCTCCGGCACGGCAGAGGGTGGGCAGGCTGCGACCCTGCCACAGCAGAAAAGGCAGCAGTGAAAGCGGGGGCGGCGATGAGCAGGGTGGCTGGAGGAGCTCGTTTGCTCTCTGCTACGAGGGCAGGGCAGATCAGTGGAGTCAAGCCCAAAACAAACAAGAAATCAGGTTTTCAAGGAATGAGTATTTGCACTCCTGAAACTGCTTGCTGAAGAGCGATACGGAAGTGAAATCTGATGTGGTTTTAAAAGGGAACAGAACAAGTGCACTGAAAGCCACACCAAGGCTCGGGGGAGGCCTGAGCTGCAGAGAGCGGGGCTGGGGGCAGCGGAGGGGGGCACCGTGCGCCCTCCCCGTGCCACTGCCTGCGGCCAGAGGGGCGGCACGGGAAGGGCCTGGCCCTGCATAGCTCGGCATCGACCTGTGCTGCGGTGGGCAGGCGGGGAGGTGCCGGCACCCAGGGAGCGGGGCCGGGCAGAGCTGGGGTGCTGGGGGGCACGGCTGGCACTGGGAACCACCATGCACCGGGGGCCTGGGCTGCAGACACTGCCCGTGGGGGCAGCCGGGGGCAGGCGGGGAGCACGGGTCGAATGTTGGCACCTTGGGTTAAGTGTGCTAATGGTGTTTGTTAATTGAACGCATTTATGGCTCGAGAGAGCTAACTTGGCGCTGCGTCACAGTTTGTTTCTGTTGGGACTTACTCAGAGGCCTTCACAGCAAGTTAAAAATCTGTTGTCAATGAACTCCGGAACCTTGTTTGAAAAAAGGCACGTTAGAAGAGGTAGCAAGGAGGCAACCAGCAGAAATTCACCCGTTTGCTCTCTCCTGAGCATCCAGGAACAGGAAGAGGCAGGAGAACCGCCTGCCCTCTCCACGTCTCTCTGCCTCTCTCTGTTTTAAAGCCAAGTCAACAAGTCTGCTTTACTTATGCTCCATTCAAAATCCCTGGAAAATTATGCCTGATTTTTGCCAGTTTTTCACAGTTGAAGGAAATGTTGCGCGTAGTGAAGCAGGTGCAAGTGTGCTGCCTTTGTCTGGTCTGGAGGGAGGGGATGCCAGTGAAGAAGCAAGTAGTAATGCTGCTTTAACCACCGTGGTTAACCAACAAAGGAACCAAGCAGAGCAAAAGTTACGGGAGGAGGTGATGCCTTTTTTTAGACAATAATGTGTTTGGAAATCCAGGTGTGTTTTCTGTTGCCTTTTTGAAAGGGCTCCAGAACCTGTCATTTTCCTCTTTCTCTTTAATAGTTTACGTTTGTAGAGGTTTTACTCCTGCCTTAAAACTTTCCCTGTAACAGAAAGAAAGAACAGGTGGGCAGGAGAGACCGCAAAGAAACATCTCCTCTTACGAACGGTCAGGATGGTGATGAGCAGCCTTGTGTTCATCACGAACACTGCGGGCACAGCGGGCAGGGCCCCGTGGCCCCGGAGCAGCTCTGGGCTGTGCGTCCCCGCTGTCCTGGGCCGGCCGGAGCATCTGTCCCAGATCGGATATCCTGGAGAGGAGAAGGGGCTCAAGGAGGGTGCTCCCTGTGCCACTCAGAGCCGTTCCCAGTTGTTACAGCCTTCTTAACCCTATTGCAGCGTTCTGCACATTACAGAAGGAGCACACCACGAGTTGTGTTCGCTTTCAGTCAAGCACATGCGTTATGACGTGCCTCCAGCTCGGTACCTGCACAGCACGCAGGTACTGCAGTGAGCGCAGTGCTCGGGGCACCCCGCTGGGTGCCGTGTCCCCACAGGGGCTGCTCCCTGCAGCTCCCCTCACCCTGCGTGCACTCAGGAGGGGTGCGGGAAGGTTTCCTGTGCTCCTGCAGGGAGCAAGGAGCTGCCCCCTGCACCGTGAGCTCCGTGCTGCCTCCTGCCCCGGGCTGCCCGCTCCTTCTGCCCTGGGCTCCGGCTCCAGGGCCAGGCACAGGCGGTGCTGGGCTCTGCTGCTGCTGGAGAGGGTGGGAGGGCTGAGCCACAGAGCTGGTCGTGAGCAGGGTGAGCGTGGCGGAGGGAAGAGGCCGGGAGGGATCCCGAGGGACACTGGTGACCCGTCGTGATGATTTCTCCTCTCTGTTCTGCAGATTCGTTTGTGAACAGCCAGGAATGGACCCTGAGTCGCTCGGTGCCTGAGCTGAAGGTGGTGAGTACTCACGACCCCTGCTTCTCTGATGCTTCTCCAAATCCCCAGGAAAAGCCCACGTTTTCCTGTGGCTGAGTGAGTTTGCGTGGGGGTTTCAGCCTCACAGGGAGGAGGAGAGAGGAGCCGGGGCTCCCGCTGCGCTGGGGGGAGGTGAGGGTCTCTCACTGGGTCACACTGGTGCAGGAGGGGTTGGTGGCCTGGGGGAGCACTCGGACGTGGAGGTCCAAAGGCGATATTTGAGCACCTCGCCCTTCCTGCTGGCCACTACAGAGCCACAGCTCCCATCTGTCCTGGAGCACCAAGATATCCCAAGCATTTCACGTGTGCCTGGCCCTTGTTAGGCACCTCAGGCAGCCTGCTCCAGCGCTCTCTTCTTGCCCTCCCTGCAGCAGCCTTTACCTCCTTTTGAAGCCTGTTGGGCATGTCTCCCTTGAGCCCTTTCAAGATTAATTTTTTCAATCTTAATCTGAAAAACAAGAAGCGTTTTTGCAAAACATAGAAGCAGCGTGCTGCCACGGTTGTTCTTACCTGCAGTTAAGTATGAATTGAAATGAACTTTGAATATTCACTTGTTAGTTTGGCTTGTGGAGTGAGCGTCTGTTCAGAACTATTCCGTGCATTGCTTTCTGACACGGTGACAGTGTGCAGGCTGCAAAGCAGGGCTGCAAGCTAAACAAACGCACAGCCTTCAGCTCGTCCTGAATCTACACAAACCTTTTCCCGTGTTTTCCATGTCCTCTGGGAATCTCTGCTCCTCTGGAGTTTGATCTGGCTGATGCGGTTCTTCCTGAGACCTGAAGCCTCGCAGAGGGCTGGTCCATGAGGTGCGGGGCTGTGCCCTTCCTGCTGTGTCCCCGGGGCTCTGCTGCAGCAGCTGACTGCGGGGGGCCGGGGGTCTCTAGGATTTCTGGCTCTGCCCAAGGGCAGGAAGCCTTCTAACCACAGAGCTGCTCCTGCTGCCGTCTGGGCAGTCAGTGTGGGGCGTCCTCGGGCAGCACACGGGGACAGGGAAGGCTCAGCAAGGTCCAGAGCTCCTGGGTGGGTGCCAAAGGGACGAGCTCAGCGCCGTGCTGCTCCGTGGTACGTCAGCCCTGCTGTGCCTCTCTGCCCCAGCTCTCTGGGCTTTTGCTTCTGTCTCATCCACCCCAGTGGTGTGGCTGTCCTCATTGGTCTCAGGTCCAGCTCTTCTCTCCAGGTCTCTTCAGGGAGATGGGTCTTGGAGTGAGCGCCCTGAGCTGTCACAAACTTGTATGACCGTGCTCCACACATCGCTATCCTGCAGTCCATACAGGCATTGCTAAACATCCAAAACTTTGCAAGAAACTTTCCCTGGCTTTGCTGCCTCCTGGTTCTGTCAGTGGAAGATCCCAGTCTCGCCAGGGGCTTCCCTTTTACAGCACACGATGCTTCTGCTGCAGCCTGCGTCCCTCTCCACCACGGGCACAAACCCATTCCTCCACCTCTCCTGCAGGAGTTGTCTTGCCATCGACGTCCTTGGTCCTGTTCCCGTTTGCACCACAGGTGGTCACTGTACTTTATCCAGAGGTTTTCAGGAGCTCGCTGTTCCTGAGCTGGGCCCCGCAGTTCTTCCTGCAGCCCCTCTGCCCGTGGTGTGGTGCAGGCAGTCCCGCAGGCAGGGCACGGAGCGCTGCTGGCCGGGCTCCCGCGCGGCACCGGCCACTCGCTGGCTGTGCAGGCCAGGTGTGTGCCTGATTCCTCCGGCATGCCTTGATCAGGAGGTTTCCATGGTTCCTGAACACCACATTTTACTTCGTCTTGCTGCCTCTGATGGGTTGTTCTCACCTGTAACTCAGCTGAGCCTGAGGAGAGGCAAAGCAGGACATTTCATTTCAGCAGGACAGGTCAGGATTTCGCATTGCACTTTGTTGGCTTACAACCAGCCTCCGTACAAGCTCCGGAGAACTAAATCCTGTTCAGGTGTCCAATTTCTGGTGGTGTGTGGCACCTGGCAGTCAGGGAGCCTTGGGGGTCCCTCTGTTTCCCAAGGGTTGCCCCCAAGGCTGAAGCAGCAGCCGGCCTGGGCCGTGCTGAGCCCCCTGAGCTGTGCTGTCCTCCCGTCTGTGCCTCCTGCCCCGGTGGCTCCTGCTGCCACCGAAGGGCACGCGGGTGGGCAGGGGTCTGCAGGCAGAGGGCCACAGCGGTGTTCATGAAACCTGCCCGCTTCCAGGGGTTCTTGGCTCCAGGAGCACGTTACCTGCGGTTAGTTCCATACACACCCGGTCTGTCTGTGTGACCTTCAGCTCCTCTTGCAGGGTGACAGCACCGGTGGCACCGTGGTTGGCCCAGGCACACCCTGGGAGCCTTCCTCTGCCTGCTGGCCCCGTGTGGCCATCGGGCTGCGTGTCTGCGTGGCCAGGCGGGGGGCTGCCCCCGAGCACCCCCTGCGCTGTGCGCCCCGCTGGGCCCGGCCGTCCCCGCAGGAGCCGCGGTGCCACGGGCAGCTCCCGCCTGCCGGGCTGCCTGCTGCAAAGCTGGGAAACCTGCCTGGCCGTGACTCACACCTCCAGCTCGGCTGCTCGCCTGGAAAAGGCACGCCGTACACCTCTCAGGGTGGCAAGGCAGCTCTCGTGTTCCCAGCCCCTCCTCTCTCCTCGCCCTCCCGCTTCTGGAGGCAGCTGCGTGTGGTGCACGGCGCTGGGCACGGCCTCGGGCTGCCGGGAGGTTTCCGGGGAAATTTGGGTGTCCTGGGCTGTCAGAGCGCTGTGTGCTGACAGCATGGAGCCTGCAGCCGGGTACGTCCTGCTCCAGGAGCCACCGGGCTGCTCCCCAGGGCAGGCGGCTGCCCTGCAGCCATCAGGGCTCTTTGGGGAGGCTCAGGGACAGCTTTGGCACTGCCGTGCCTCCTGCCCATTTTCGATACCCAGGCATGACCTGCAGCCGAGTGACGGGATTTAGGATTTTAATTTTGTGTCATGCGTATGGGTGCTTGCTGCTTTCCGGCAGACTGTTAGCTTCTCAGTGCTGTGTACCTGCTTAAAATATTCATAGAATCATGGAGTGGGTTGGGTTGGAAGGGACCTTAGAGCTCACCTACTTCCAGCCCCCTGCCATGGGCAGGGACACCCCCCACTGGATCAGGCTGCTCCAAGCCCCATCCAGCCTGGCCTTCAGCACTTCCAGCAATGGGGCACCCACAGCTTCTCTGGGCAAGCTGTTCCAGTGCCTCAGCACCCTCACAGTAAAGAATTTATTCATCATAAAGGCTCTGTGTGTCCACCTGGGCCTTCCTGCGCCCCTGCAGAGACCCTTGTATTTCCAGCCAACGTGGATACCTTCCGTGTGCTCAGGGAATCTCATGGTCTGGTCCGATTGCAGGTGTAAGGAGGGCGAAAGGTCAGTTGTGCACTTCATAGGCCTGGGGGCAGCATCCCAGGTGCTTTAGTGTCATCCTATGTTTGCTGTGAAGCAGCTCTGGGTGTGTAGGGGCTGTTAGGTTTTCTGGAAGCACAGCATCCCTGCTGGGGCATCTTCATGGGGACGTCTGTGGTGGTTCCATCTGGTACGTGCAGACGTGCTCAGATGGCAGGGTTGGAGTTCTGGACACGCACCCCAGGGAGCTCTTTGTGGGAGTGTGGCTTGGGCACGGGGAGCGCAGTGCCTGCAGCAGGGGCTGTTTGTGAGCAGCCCCATGGTGAAGTCAGGCTGCCAAAGGTAAGGTGGGTGCTTTGGGGCGCTGCGTGGAAGAGGAGCAGGAGCCTCCTTTGCCCCGGTGGGGTGAGCCGTGGCGCTGGCTTCCAGGCCGGCTGCACAGTAAGCGTTTTGCAGGTGCCTGCCTGCCTCCCTCACCTGCAAGGCTTTTGGTGCACAGCCCCACGTCAGGAGCGAGCTAGGAGCAGCTCGTCCAGCGCCTGGCCAAGAGCCTCTCCGCGGGCCTGGGGCGCTGGCAGCAGGCAGAGAGCAGCGTGCTACGTGTGGCTGTGCCGCTGAGGAGAGAGGGGTGCGGGTGGGATGCTCCGTGGGGTGCAGGAGCCGCTGCGTGAGCTGCACTGTGCCCCGGTGTGCACGGTGCTCTGGGATGTACATTGAGCAGCCTGAGCTGCGTTGCTTGCAGGGGTGGCAGGGGTGGTCAGAGCCGCAGCGAGGAGGCAGCGCCGTGCCTTGCTGCTGTGGGGGCAGCGGCTGTGCCAGGCGCTCCCCGTGCCCTGTGCAAGGCATTGACAAGAGCCACAAGCGAGCGTGGGGCGCGTGGGCTGGGGGGAGAGCTCTGCTCCTGGTGAGCCGGCTGCCACTCGGGGCCACTCTGCCACTGGGGCTGTGCTGGCAGGGCTGTGCCTGCCCCAGGTGGGACCGGCGGCCCTGCCACCCTCGGTCAGTGACAGCGGGGGTGTCCCTGATGCTGTCACCCCGCGGGGAATGGCCGGGCTGCCCCGCGAGCAGGAGGCGAGTGGGCGGTGGGGTGACGCGTGCCTTTCTTCCAGGGCATCGTGGGGAACCTGTCCAGCGGCAAGTCCGCCCTCGTGCACCGCTACCTGACGGGCACCTACGTGCAGGAGGAGTCTCCAGAGGGTAAGGTCTGGTTTCGGGGGCGGGTGGCTGGGGTCCTTGGTCCCCTCCTGGCTTCAGCAGCGACCCCCGTCCTGCACATCTTCTGCCCCCGCCGCTGGGCTCTGCGGCCTCCCCGGCTCCCAGCGCGGGTCCCGCTGCGTGCGCTCCCCCTCTCACTCGAGCTGCCGCTTTGCTCTCTTCCCAAGGTGGCCGATTTAAGAAGGAGATCGTAGTGGATGGTCAGAGTTACTTGCTGCTGATTCGAGATGAAGGGGGCCCCCCTGAGCTGCAGGTAGGAGATCTGTGCCCCCCTCTGTCCCTTCCCACTCCGGCACGCTAGAAGGATTAGCAGGTCCCTGGGGAAGACCCGGCCTGGCTGCCGCCCCGGGGAGCCCATTCCTGGGAGAACATACGGACTGCGAGGCCCGAGTGGAGGCTGCCTGTATGGTGACTGCTGGCCCCAGGCCTCCCCACGGCGCCAGGGAGGAGCGTGGGGCCTGGGCTGTGTGCGTCCGAGCCCAGGCTCAGCGTCAGTCCCTGCTGGGCGCTGCCGGCCCTGAGCACGAGGCGAGGGGCCGGGTGCTAACAGACGCTGTCTCCTGCCCCCAGTTTGCTGCCTGGGTCGATGCCGTGGTGTTTGTCTTCAGCCTGGAGGATGAGATCAGCTTCCAGACGGTGTACAACTACTACCTGCGGCTCTGCAGCTACCGGAACACAGCGGAGGTGCCGATGGTGCTGGTGGGCACGCAGGGTGAGCGCGGGACAGCTGGGCATCCTCCCCACAGCCCCTGCCCCGTGGTCAGTAAATGTCCAAAGGAGCCCGGGCGTGGGTCTTGCGAGGGGCTGGGAGTCCTGGGCTCCCTGCCTGGTGCTGATGAGCTGCATCGGGACAGGGTCACTCAGAGGCCCCTGCTTCTCAGGGCCCTGGGGGAGCTGATCGTGCCTTCTCAGAACATCCCAGCTTTCCTGCAGGGAGCTGCTTCACTGCGCCACTGAGCCCTTTCCTCTCAGAAATACTTGAATTTCTGTGCCCATCTGCAGTGTCTGCTCCTGTCTCCAAGGCAGGAGTGGGGGCCTGTTGAAGGATTTCACGCTGACGCATTGCTCTTCATCCCTTGGGGTGAGCTGCAGCAGGAAGGGGTTGAGGGACAGCGGCTTGCTTCCAGCCCTGAGCAGTTGAGCACCATCTCCCCTGGGGTGCTGCCAGCCCGTGTGTGGCTGTGGAGAGCAGCAGCAGCCCGGAGCTGCCTTCCTCCTCCTCCTCCCCTGCGCTGGGCTGGGGTCAGGCAGCGCGGGAGCTTTTGGGCAGCAGCGAGGGTGTGGGGAGGGCGCAGGCGCAGCAGCCCCCGGCACACAGCAGGCTCCTGGGCAGGGGAGCTGCTGGGCCAGAAGCAGCCCTTGAGCTGGGTCCCTGCATCCTGCAGCGGCCTCTGAGAGCCAAACTGCAGTGCCTGGAGGCGGGGATGGGGGCATCGCTGCCGGCCTCGGAGCTCCATGAGCGTCTTTCTTGTCTGTAGATACAAAGCACAGGCGGGAGGGAGCCTGACCAAGTTCTCTGGATGCAATGGTGACAACAGAGAGAGAGGGAGCAGGGGACGGAGGACACAGGAAAAAAGTCGTGGCAGGACCCAGATCCTGAGCAATGCAGCCAGTTCGCACAAAGAACCTCGTAGGTTGGGAGCAGGCAGTGCCACCAGGACAGGAGTCTCAGGGAACCTACTCTAAACCCCAAACTAAGCATAGAAAAACTTGTTAAACTTCAGGTATTCAAAGACTGTGCAATTAGTTTAGGACCAAGGGCTCCTGTTTTGGGACTGGTGCAGGCACGTGCTGGGAGGGGAGGCTCAGGAGTGAGGAAGAGATAAGGCAGGGGGGCCGTGCTGGAGGTTGTCCCAGGTTCAGAGCCAGCCTGGGTTCACAGCCTTGGTGCAGTCGCACAAAGCAGCCCGCCAGGCAGCTCCGAGAGGACTTCTGTGTAATGCCAGCCCCAGGATTCCCTCAGCTCCTCTTGAGGGTTCATCGACAGCTCTGGCTTGTCCTTGGCATGACTCCGAGGAATTCAGATTGGATTCCTCCTGGGAAGGTCGGTTTTCCAAGCTGTGTGAGCAGTGAGTAGCTACCTGGGACACAAATTAAGCTTATTTGTTAGTGTTGTCCACAAAGACCCTACCTGCGAGTGCATCCTAGCAGAGCCATCTTTCCCAATTAACCGCAGATGATTTCTCCCTTTTGGTTCTTCAATCTGTAGAGTTGGCTGCATGAGCTAAACTGATCAAGACCGACAGAACCATTTCACTCTGCAAATTCGGCAGACTTGCAGATGAGCACACGTGGTAGTTAGAGCTGCCTTGACCCGGGGCACGCTGACAGACGCAGCGTTAGTCACTGCTGAGGCACGTCAGCACCATGCAGACGAGGCCCTAAGGTCTCACTGCCTACATCTTTGCCCCAGGCTCTTTGTCTGGTGTCTCTGGGTGTCCTTCAGTTGTCTTCATCAGCCACGCTGCTTACGTGGTGGGAGTCCTTGGTGGTGTGTCCAGTTCCCCACATCCAGGCTGCCTGGCGTGGCCAGCCACATCTCCTGCTCATTTCTGGCATGGGCTTCAAAAGCAGCAGTGACTGGATGGTTAGAGTTGAATGAGGTTCATTAAAACAAAACAAAAAACATTAACCAGTCATATTTCTACAAGTGTGGGACTTTGTTGTCTTAAGCATTTATGTGGCGTGGGGTGTGCTTTGGAGGTGGGTGTCAGCATGAGGAGTGGGGGGAGGCTGGGGGTGCCCTGGGACTGGGGTCGGTGGGACGCAGGTGTTTGCTTCTAACCCCCTCTGCCCTTGGTTTCCAGATGCCATCAGCGCCACAAATCCCCGGGTCATCGATGACTCTCGGGCACGGAAGCTTTCCAACGATTTGAAGCGCTGCACGTACTACGAGACCTGTGCCACCTACGGACTGAACGTGGAGAGGGTCTTCCAGGATGGTAACTGCAGCGGGCGGGGGGTGTGTGGGCCAGGCGGGCAGCAGTGCTGCCCAGCACGTAGGCGCACGGTGCCCATACCCAGCTCCCAGTTAGGAAGGAGTGTGGCAGCGAGGCAGAACAAGTCAGGCACACGCTCACTTGCGGTGCAGTTGCTTTACTGGCACAGACCAGGTCCTAGGAGCGCAGCTTGCAGCGTGTGTGTAGGACTCCTGTGTGTGTGGCACAAGGGACCATACAGCTGGGCTGGTGGCCCCTTTCTCCTCCCTTTCTTGCAGGGGCTGTCCCCCAGGGACCTGCTTCTTGCATGAGCAGAGCTGCAGGGATGCTGCATCCCCGGGGTGGGCTGTGCCGCCCAGCAGGCTGTACGAGCCAGGGGACTCGTGTGGCTGCAGAAAGGGGGTTGGTGGCGTGTTGTGGAGGAGAGGGGGAGGCGCAGCGGGACCCCTGAGTGCTGCAGGTAGGGGAGCAGCAAAGAGCATCCAGACAGAGCAACTTGTGGGAACAGTGCTTGGAAAGGCATTTCTGCTGAGACTTGGGTCTGCATGACAGGGATGTAGGTGGAGCAGGAATCCTATACCACGTCCTAGGATTTTGCAATCTGATCAAATAAACCTAGACCCTGACCTGTAACGGGACTGCGTATTCTCCTGTCCCCTTTCTCTGTGTTGTCTTCTGGAGTGCAGCTGGGAAGCTGTGCTCAGTGCCGTGAGTAAGAAATCTTGTTGGGAAGGGTCTGTGCAGAGCTGGGTGGCCAGACAGAGTCACAGGGTCGTAGAGCGGGTCAGTTGGAAAGGACCTTAAAGATCATCCCGCTCCAACCCCCTGCCGTAGGCAAGGACGCCACCCACCAGATCAGGCTGCTGCCTCCTCTAACCTGGTCTTGAACACCTCCGTGCCACTTTCTCATCTAACAAGAAGCAATCGCTGACCTTTTTGGACAGCAAGTTAACGTCTGGTGGTCTGGCACAACAGCTGTGGGTGTTTGTGGGGAGGCTGAGGGTAGCACTCTTCCTTCACAAGGTGCCCCCAGTCTGCAGATGGTGCTGCTCAGCGTGGGGAGTGCTGAGGAGAACTCCAGATCTCCACGTTCACTGGTCAGAGGATCACCAAGAACTGGCCGACAGCAGCTACTGTGGTGCCCTCAGTTCTGCTCAGGTGCAGCAGAGACTGCTCCTCTGCACCCAGAGCAGTTTCTGGCCATTTGTTCTCAGGCTAAGCTCTGTGCTGTGCAGGGATCAGGACTGTGCTTGTTAGTGCACGTCACTGTAATCCTGCTGCATCTTCCGGAGTGACAGGGGCTTTCTGTGAGCAGTCAGGCTGCTGAGAGTCACTCTAAAAAAGGGTGCATGGCGTGGAAGTTACCCCTTTTCTGCTTCCAAGGATGATTTCTCTTGTGCAGCCTGGCACAAGCCCTCCTGGAAATGCTGTTTGGTATTTGCTATGGGAAGTGCTCTTCTTGTTCTTTGCACGTTGCTTCCAGCATCAGATGCTGTCCCCGTTACTGCTGCTGTGACAAGGTGGGGCGGTCTGCCTGTGTCACATACAGCCTGTGGGTGATCCTGGCCCCAGCAGGAGGAGGGATAGGGGCTGGGCTGTGTCCTGTAGTGCCCACTGCCCTGTGGACAGGACCTTTAGCTTCACAACTTCACCAGGGTATGAGTTTGCTCTAAGGGGTAGGTTAATGTGGTCCTCTCACAGGTACCAGAGCTCACGGTGAGGTGGGAGAAACTTTTCTTCTGGTTTCTTGGCTTTGGAGTTGTAGGGTTACAGAGTTTTATTGGTGAGCTTGCCTTCACAGACTGCTGTATGCAGAAACCTCCTCGAGTTTGGAGGATGCCAGGACAATAGCAAGGAGCCATTGCTGCTGAGGTACTGGCAGTGTTGCTGCCGTTTGTCTCCAGGGCAGCGTGTGGCTCTTCTCGGGGGCTGTTCGGCAGGAGCACTTCATAGAGAGGCCAAGAGGTTTTGTACAGGGGTTGTGCAAGGCCCTGTGATTTCAGAAGGTGCTGTCACACCAACGAGGATTTCTCTGCAGGGTCCTGGGTGGGTCACCACGGACCTTCGCATGCGCTGCCTCTGCATCCCCATATCCTCCCCACACTGACTGCAAGGAATCCGGACAGAGGCTCAGTCCCTGGGACAGGGCTCAGTGGTTGTACAGCGCAGAGCTGTGCGTGGCGAGCAAAGAAATCTTCACGAGCAAATGACCCCAGACAGAGTCTTATGGGACGACAGAACTTATCCTTGAAAAAGTCCTGATGATGTTCCAAGAAGTGGAGGAACCTCTGCCCGCCGAACAGAAACTTGAAAGCCGCCCTCAAGATGCCCCAGATAAGGTCGGTGAGGTTCTAACACAGCTGTGTGGTTTGCTGGCCTCACCAGGAGTCTTCCTGGCTACAGTTTGTCCCACTGTGGGCATTCTGCTGGGAACGTTTGGTCCTACAACTCTTCAATGAATTTATGCACATTCAGTAGTAATGTATGGCTGAAAAATGTCTTTGCTCAGCACTCTGCCCTTTGGTGTCAATAAGACAAGGAAACTCCCACTGACATGCACTCCTTGTGGCCTCCACCAGCCACAGCCAGTCCTGATGGGTTTCCCTGCTCCTCTGCTGCTGCTCCATCAGTGCTCCCCCCTTCTCTGGTCCATGAAGTTCTTCGCCAAGCAGATAACGTCAGGTCACCAAGCCAATAAGTGGTAGCGAAGACACGTGTAGACTCCGTGCAGAGCAAGGAGGGACTGAAAAAAGCAGCAGCTGCCAGTGGCATCTCAGCGAGCCGCCCTCGTTCCCTGTCACCAGGCTGAGCAGGAGCAGGACTGCTCTGAGGCAGCCGGCGTGGGGCAGTGCTGCTGTCCCCACTGAACCTGCTGGCTGCAGACTGCATCCCTGCCTGCGATCGGGGTCTGCGTCCTGCAGACCTCACTCTGCTCTGCATCGAAAGCCTTGGTTTACTTGCAGCAGGTGGAAATTCACCGCTAAATCAGCAGCTTCTGCTGTTCTCCTTTCAGTTTCAGGGAGGCAAGCAGAGGTATTCTCGAGCTTGGTATCTGTTGCCCCAGGTCTGCTGCTGCACCCCAGAGATCAGCTCCTCTTACAAGGCTTAAAAGCTGTGGGCTGTGGCCATGAAGTTCCAGTTCTGAGGGCCACGTTGTCTTAGCTGGGGGTGTCTCATCCCCGTGGCATCGCCAGTCCTGCATCCTGCCTGGCCCAGGCAGCCCTCAGAGAGCCCAGGGGCGTGATGCCAGCAGCGGGCTCTGCATGGTGTGCCTGGTCCGAGTTAGAAAATGTGTACACAGCAAACGGTGGATGAGGCTGGCAAGAGGAGAGGGCAGAGGGGAGGAGAGTAGGAAGGAACAGCAGATGAATAGGGTGTGCTTGGTGGGTGTAGGAGGGGTTCCTGCTGTTTATGGGACTGATGCTTAGCCTGGGAGTCCGGACAGGCTTCCAGCTTTATCAGACGAGCAGGTAGCAGCAGTGGCCCTACAGGACTTTGTATTTGTTATCAGCATCTGACTTTTCCAGATGGGTTTAGTCCCACCATGTGTACGGTGCAGCATCTTCCATTCTTCTGGAAAGGAAACGTGACAGCTCCTCTGCTGCCAGGGTGCCCGACAGGAGGCACGTTGGGTTGGAGCTGGGGTGCTGGTCAGTGCCTGTGGTGATCCCAGCACCTGGAGTCGTGTTCTGCCTTGTGCTTATGGGGGTATGCAGCCAGCATGGAACAGGAATATACAGCACGGGAATGCAGTGTGCCTCCTGATTCCCCACAGCCTAGCTAGTTGGCTGCCACCCTCTTTGGTCAAGCTGTGTGTTTCCTGACATGGTAGGAGACTGGGAAGGTTGAAGTGGAATTTGGGGCTTTTGACATCAGGCAGTGAGCTTGCAGGACCTGGGAGAGTTGTTTCTGAAGCCAGTTTTTAGACCATCGGGAGACCACGAGTGTCACACAAGCCCAGGTTGATGGGGGTGGCGTTGCCCAAAGTACTCGGTCTGTAACTGGTTCCTGTAGGCACTGTGAGGGGGTGACTGGGAAGTGACTGCCTGGGGATGCTCCGGCAGCAGCCTGGGGCTCCGGGTGGCTCCTTGGTGTCCACACAAAGTCACTGCTCTGTGTGGCACCCTAATAGAGTGGGGGTGGTCTGTGGGGACTCAGCGTGGGAGGCCTGCCCTGCTGGCAGAGCTGCTGGCACACCGTCACCTACAGCTGTGCTCTGTGGCAGTGGCAGCAGCGGGATCTCAAAGTTGGGTGTCCTGCAGAAATCCTTCTTGCTAATACGGGGCGGCACAGCCCGAGCCCCAGGTGTTGGCCTCGGTCAGAGGAAGGGTTTGGGTGTCAGTGAAGCAGTCCAGAAGTTTGGGGGCGGGTGGGGAAGTTGTATTCTGGACTCTGACCCTGTCCCTTTCTTTCTTGCAGTGGCTCAGAAGGTGGTGGCTCTACGGAAGAAGCAGCAGCTTTCCATCGGTCCCTGCAAGTCCCTGCCCAACTCACCCAGCCATTCGTCTGTCTCTGCGGCCTCCATTCCTTCTGTTCACATCAATCAGGTGGGAAACGGGAGCAGGAGAAGCCAGGGTGTCCCCGTGCTTCTCACCCCTGAGGGCACTCAGTACACAGCCTGTTTAGCCTAGCTTTAGACTCACACCACAGCCATGGAGTAACTTTTGGAAGAGCAGAGCACTCGCCTGGGGCTCCCCTGCACAGCCCAGCAGCTCGCTGCTTACCCTGTGGTCAGGCGTCCTGTACAAACCCCTGGATCCAGCTCACGGTCTCCCATGATTGTGGAGTGCTCCTGGAGCAGCTCCGCAGAGCTGTGAGCACCTACAGGGCTGAGCAGGAGGTCTGTGAGCCAGGCCTTGGGCTGTCTCAGCAGTGCAGGCAAGCCCAGTGGGCTCGTGGTCCTGCTCCCCTTGGAGCCAGGAGCCTGGTGGTCTTGTACACAGCCAGGGGGCTTCTTTGGGATGTGTCTGTGCAGGGGGTGGTCAGCAGTGAATTCAGAGGGGAGCACAGAGGAGGGAGCAGTGCTCTGGAAGCTCCCTGTGCTGGAGGAAGGGCACTGTGCAGCTCACTGAGCTGCTCTGCAGGCCAGCAGGGACTGACAAAGGTGCTGGGGCAAGGGTGGAGCTGGAGGTGTTTGTCCTGTGACCCTGGGGAAGCAGAATTGCAGCAGAAGAGGCAAGTCAGAGCCAGGCTGGCACAGCGGTGGCTGCTGAAGGAGACCCTTGTTGCATTAGGGCTCTGCTGCAGTTCCCAGCACGTGCATACGTGCCGAGCTGGCTCTCTGGTAAAGAGGTGAGAAACTGAGCTCCACTGCTTCTCGGGCAGTCGAGCCAGGAGATTAAATCTCCAAAGCAATTGTTGTGTTGAAGTCACAGGATCTGTAGCAAGGACTTCACCAAATCTGTCTGTCTGGCCTCGTGCTGTCAGACTGGGGAGCAGCAAATACAGCAGTTGGGTTTTTTAAAGACGCCAGGCAATGTAGCAAGAGCAGCCAGGAGCCCCTGGACACCTCGTCAACAAGCAACAGATGAAATGACTTCTGAGGAAGAGAGTAGCTGAGGACTTAGAGGAGCATGTAAAACTGAACAAAAAAATGCAAAGCCAGTTTAGGACAACAAACTGCTAGATTGACGCTTCTTCATGAGGGGATTGGCTTTGACCCCAAGGTTGTATAAGCCCTTGAAGCCCCAGGACAGCTCCTGGTACCACCACGGGGGGGTTGTTCTTACACAAGCCTGAGTAATGTCTGCAGCCACTGTTCTGACCCTTACATAAACATTTTTGACATACCCACGTAAAGCTTGTGCCTGCCTGGATAGGTTTCTAGTGCTGGACTGTGAGTGGATCTGTACAGATTTTTGCAGACCTGTGCCAGCTTCTGGTGCCCTGGGGCACCTGGGCACGGGCCAGCTCAGATGAAGTCTCTGTGTAAGTGAATTATGCTGTGCCCTGACTGGCAGCCAGAACCGCCTGGCGTTGTGACCAGGGCTTGCTCGTGTCCAGTGGGCTCAGGATGGAAGCAGAGAGAGCACAGCTGCTTTCCAAACACACGCAGCAGTGCCGTGCCCTGCACTATGCCCAACGGTGGGGGAGAATCTTAACAGGAAGCATCCAAGGTGAAGAGCAAAGTCCAGAAAATGTAGGTTTAAGTGTGTGTAGTACTTAGAGGATTTTCTTAGCAGACAAATTGTAAACAGTCTAATACTTTTGGGAATGAGGGGCAGTCTGTTTGGGAATCGGAGCAGGGTGGAGGATGGCCACGGACAGAGTTCTTCAGGGAGCAGCTGAATACTGGTTTGATATTTTCTTCTATGTCAAATGTATGAAAAAAGAGTCCTGATAAATGTGTGCTAATGGCACTTGCTATGCCTAGCCACATGTTTGTAGTGAGGACAAAAATGTGTTCCCCATGTATGGGGTGTGGTGATGCCGGACTCAGTCTGATGCCAGTCACTCATGTAAGTACGTATTAAAGCTGGCACAGGAACAGAAAAAGGCTCGCGGGAGGGAGGAGACCCTAATCCAAGAGGATGTCAAGCACTTGGCTTGTTTAGTTTAGAAAAGCAAAGGCTGAAAAGGGACCAAACGCAACCTCAGAAATACACAGCTGTGAAAGAAAAGAACTTTTTAAGAAAAGATGGTGCTAGTACAAAAGGGGTGGATGTAAGGGCGGCCATGGGGAAGCAGGGTTTGGGCATCAGAAGAGGTTTCAAACAGTGTGGCAGGAGCTTTGTTAGAGATTATTGCTCAGAAACATCCCCACCTTCCTTCCTGCAGCATCCCTTTCAGCCCGGTTTGCAGCTGATTTCTGTGTGGAGGTGAATGCTGGCTCCTGGGCTCTGAGGCAGGGCCTTTCCTCTCGGTACCTTGCTGTGCTCCTGGGGCTTTGCTGCAGGGACCTGGGTAGTTCTGTGAGAAACCAGAGCCATTACAGGGAAGTAATGCAGCATGCAGCTAAAAGGAGATTGCAGCTAATTGTGAGGCCTTTCTAAACAAGAAGTAGTTCCTGATTGCGGGGATGGCAGCAGTGTCAGCAGTGACAGGCCATGTCCTTAGGAGCTCCTGCTGTCTGTCTTCCCTTCCCCATCCATGCTCTGCACCTGCCTAAAGCTTTGCCTGTCCCTTTGCTCGGCAAACCTGGACACCACAGTGAGGATCAAAGTCAATTTTGGTTCCTCGGGTGTTCTGTGGCTTCACCACAAACCCTTTTGGTTCGCAGTGACCCGCTGCAGTAATCTCTGCCTTGGTGTTTACACATTTCTGTTCCATTATAGAAGCACTTCTCCTAAAAATAGAGTGTGAAGTAGTGGAACTGGTGAGTGATGGCGAAATACTGCGAAGCGTTTCTGCATTCTCACTTGGGCTCAGCAGTCAGATTCTGGAAGTGCTTCCCAGAGAAAACCCAACTGCCTTTGAGGAACACGAGTGCGCTGGTTCCTGATGCTTTTCACGTGCCCGGGCCTTGCAACCCTCGTCCTCGGGTGCGTGTCATGCTGCCCGTGCAGAAACACAGCCAGCACTGAGCACGGCGAGCAGGCAGCTGCCAAAGCCACAGCAGTTACTGCAGCCGGGGTGCGAAAGAGCCTGGAATCGCTGCTCGGGGGCGTGCTGCGGTGCTGGTGGCAGGCGGAGGGCAATGGGCTCCAGGAGCCACAGCAGCGGTCCCCAACCAGAGGAGGAGCTCTGGGAGGAGACGGGCAGGCACCGTGCCACCAGCAGGGATGGATCAGTGGCAGGGTGTTTGCAGAGCAGGGCTCTTCTGCCTTTTGCTATTTAAGGGCACGGGGATCTCTCTGGGGTTTCTTACTTGCCTCTGCTAGCCCTGAGAGCTAGCCTCTGAGGGCAGGTGCCGAGGCAGGGACGAGGACCTCAAGGAAGGATTTGGGAGCGCAGGATTTAGCATCGAGATGAGATGGAAAGAAGCCAGACAAAGAATACAAATGAGGAGCTTTGTTTTGTCTTGTAGTGCAGCTGGGTGTTGCCTGCCCTTTCCCCCTGACTGTCCCTCTTCCCTTCTGCAGCAGCTACGGCCAGGTTGCATTTCCCTTTGTAGCTGTGTGCCCGGGGATGGTGGTGCCCCCGAGAGGAGAGGGACATTGCTCAGGGCCTGGTGCCACGAGGCAGCTCTGCCTTCTGGAGCTGCTGGTGGCTCTGGTCTTCTGGAACTGGGGACAAGTGGTCCCTGCAGAGGGTGGCTTACAGGCAGGCAGGGGCTGGGACACGGCCTTGCTTCTTTTCCTAGTCCTAGGGACATCTCTTCTGGAAGTAGTTTAATATTCCAGGCCAAAGTATTTTTTAGGAAATGGACACTGCTGGTGTCCTGGCAGTCAGGCCAGTTCATTGCAGTTACTGGGAGCAGAGAGGCCCCAGCAGACCCTGGAGGTTTTGTCACCTGGCTGTGGGAGAGCTTTCTCTGCCTGCTGAGAGGTGATGGATGGTTTCCACACCCTCGTGGCCGTGCCAGCTGCCCGAACGGGCAGGGCTCTGTGGCAGCGGTGCTGCAGGGAGGGTGGTGGTGTCCTTGCAGGATGGGTGATCCTATTTACGAAGCAGCTCTTGCACTAGCCAGTTGCCCTGGTTCCCGTTCTGTCTTTGGGAGCTGTGGGTTATTTTGTTTTTATTCCTCAGCAGCGTGTGGTGCCACAGAGGGCAGTGCTCCCATCCAGGCAGAGACGCCAGCTGCAGCAGCAGGCCAGCTGTGACAAGGTTTTCCTACGAGGGCCCCGCTGGTTCACCAGCACTGTGACCCTGACCCCTGTGCCCAGCATCGCCCCACGGGGCAGGGGCCGGGGCCAGCGCCTGGCTCATGGGCAGCGGGTCCGCTTCTGGCACCCGTTCAGCCACCCTGGGATCCCCCAGGCCCAGCAGTCCCCAGGGAAAGCTCTCGTCTACCTACTGGCTCGGGCTCTCCTCTCGGGTGCCCTGCCTGGCTGTGGCTGGGCCAGCAGGTTGGATGGGCTGGGAGCCCAGTTCCTCCGCTCCAGTTCCTCCGCTCGGCCCCTGCCACCCGCTCCCTCTGGCAGCTGCCTGTCCCCTGCCTGCAGGGCGCGGGTGGGAGCTCCGTGGGCCAGCAGAGGCTTGAGGTGCTCGCTGGGAGTTCCTCCACCTGATTTCCTTACTGTTCCTACCCCTTTCTCCGTCTTTCTTCAGGGTCTGAGATGCCCTTAGGAGTACCCCAGGCTGTGGGGTGAGTCATCGCTGCCTGTTTGCTGTGGGATGGAAGTTTGTCTTTCTGCCAGGGAACTCGTTCCCAGAAGCTGGCAGGAGGTAACAGGCACCCCACACGGCACCTTGCAGGCTGCTCAGTCCCCTGGGGTTCGTGTCCCCCTGTACTGCGTGCCCGGCCCCACTGATCTGCCTTCCCGGGTCAGTGCACCCCACTTCCACAGACCAGCCTTGGTCTGCAGTCCTGCACAGCCTCTAGACTGAAAAAAGAAAGTGTTCATCGAGACTGTAGTTAAGGAGGGCAGACAAAAGGACTGGAAACCCAAAGTTTGCAAGGGAAATGAAACACGAACTGCAGTTCACCTGTGCTCGGTCCCAGGAACCTCCCTGCCTGTTGCAGCATGTCCAGCAGTTGGTGCGTGTGTTGCAGCAGCTCCAGCAGCTCGAGCATCTGCACTTCCTTGTGGGAGCCTGCGTCCAGCAGCCTGCTCAGCTCCTGATGCCCTCCGCTGTGGTTTCGTGGTCTGTACGCTTCTGGCTCCTTCCCTGTCCCTGTCCTGCTGAGTCGGTGCCTGCTGCTTGTTTGCACTCTTCCTCTCACAGCCCTTCCCAGATTTCACTCCCTGTTCCACCTGTGTCTTTGCACACCAAGGCTCACTACGTTGTCACTTGGGCTGAATTCCTCCCTGCTGCAGCACCCTACAGCACTGTCAGTGTTCTTTGAAGTTCACAGCGTGTACCCCTTACACACTGGTAGGAAGGATTTCCTACGTGTGTTTTACTAAGCCGTCAGCTTCCACCGTGTTTTAGGTTGCAATAGCGACCACAGGTGGTTGTTTAGGTAGATCAAGCAAAACAACTGCCAGGAGCAAAAACGAGGCGTCTGCCCAGACCTGTCATCTTGGCAGGGTTCTCCCACATGCTCGGGATTTGTTTCGGGTCCCTGGATCTCTGCTGACGCCTTTGGGCAGGCTGCTGCAGCTGAGCAGTCAAGTGGCTCAGGATTGCCTGTGTAACCAGAGGCTGCACTGCTGGGGGATTTCTCCTCTGCACAGCGCTCATGGGGTGGTGCCAGCCCACACATCAGCCTCCCCAGCTTGTGCGTGGCATCCTCCAGCCCTTGTGCCTTTCCTGAGGTTTGGGTGTCCGTGGGACACCAGCAGGCTCAGGAAAGGCAGTGTCCTTTACTTGTCCCCAGCACTAGACAAACTTACAGGGTAAAGAAAGCTTTTCTGGCTAGGCAGAAAATTAAAACAGTGTTACAGGGAGTACGTAAAATATAAAACAATTTAGCAAAGTTTCTTGTCAGGAGCTTTAATGTCTCACCTAATATAAACAGTATTTGCCCCAGCTGCTGTGGCAGGAGCTCAGACTCTACAGCCTCTTCTGAACTGAAGAGGACCCTCAGCCTTCATAAACGTGCTGACAAGGCAGCTGGAGCCCTCAGAGCCAGGAGAGCACCTCGGAGCCGTCACTGGGCTACTGGCAGCCTTGCCTGCCCCCCTTCCTGGCTAGCCCGTTCTCTGTGTTGCAGCATCGACCATCTCTTCCCTCATACATCTTCAATTTTATTTTTGACACAGTTTGCACGTTATGCATCAGTTAAATACTGATTGTGCAGGTCGTGTTATGCCTGATCATAAAGCTGGGCTGTGTCAGCAGATTCTCTTCCACCCTCTGGCCCTCGCTTTCTGCTCCTTTTCAGTCATGGCCGCGTTTGCAGAACCTGTGGAGTGCAGGGGCTGTCTGCAGGAGTCGCTGCCAGGACGGCGTGTTGCTTTGCTTCTGCGTGTCCCTTGTGGTCCTGGTTCCTTTGGGACCTGCCAGCAGAAATCCCGTGTTCAGCACAGGTTTTGTCAGCTGGATGGCCTCCAGAGAACCTTCCTGGTGATGTGCACTCTGCACAGAGTGCCCGGCCTCTGCTCTGCCCAGAGAAGTGCAAGCAGACCAGGTCCCGTCGGTACCAGTGCACCAGGAGCATTCCTGTCTCTGCACAGCCCTGAGACACCCCAAACCCCACACCTGCAGGGACACGGCCTTGCAGCAGGGCTTTCCTGGAAGCCATGGAGCAGCTGCCTGGCCGCCTGCTCCTTTTTGAGCTGCCCGTGCTGGCAGGCTGGTGCAGGGAGCAGCTCAGCCCGAGTCCCCATGGCGTGAGGCTCCCTTCCCTGCTGGGCAGGCTGCAGAGCACCTTTCGCTTCTGCTGCCCTGCCTGCAGCACGGCGTTAGGGCCCTCAGCCCCAGCTGCAGGTGGTGGCTGTCACCGCGTGGCTCCCCACGGGCCATAGCATGAGTTATGGGTTACCTAGCCTGAGTGAAAGCTGCAATTTTTTTTTTAGGAGACTAGGTTGTGGCTTGCAGCAGCTGCTGTGCCTGTACAGCCTCTTTCACATTTCTAATGTTTCTTAATTGCTTGTCACGGAGCAGGGCTCAGATCCCACCAGGCACAGTGTGCAGGCGGTGTTTTCTCACTGAGCATCCTCGGTGGATCCGTGTTCCACGCGTGCTGTGCTCCTGCTTTCTGCTCTGCACACAGGAGAGGCCCCGGCCACCGCTGACTGCAGCAACTGAGCCGAGGGCTGGCAGCTCCCCAGAGGGCTCCAGAGCTCTCCTAGGCCGCAGGGGCCATTTCTTCAACACACTTAAAATACAGTTCAAGGATCAGAACTGCCAAAAAGAGCCCAGGATGCCAGGAACCCATCTCAGGCGAGCCGTGCGGCTGGGCCTGCCCCTCTCCCAGAAGTTAAACTACTTAGAGGAGACGCAGCGTGTTGCCCCATGTGTTTCCAGACACGGCCACTGCAGCCGAGGCCACAGAGGCCACGAGAGGCCTGTGCCACCCTTGAGGTCTCCTCGGATAAACCCCAAACCCAGCAGTTTCACATTGAGTGTGAGCACACAGGGTGTTGCAGGGGCCAGGGCCTGCCTCAGGGTTGCACGTCCCCCTTGGGATCGTAGCTGAGACTGGAGGGGCACCAGCAGGGCCGGGGAGCCAGGCGGCTCCAGGCTTCCCCACAGCTTTGTGTTTAGGGGCCCCGAGGAGAGGCAGGTTCCCTCCAGCAGGCAGCGCGAGGCTTGGGCTGTGCTGGGCCTGTGCTGCTCTGAGAACAGAGGCAGCCAGGCTGTGAGGGGCCGCGTGGTTCCTGCTGCCCCCGTGCCCTCGCACCAGGCTCCGTCAGGACAGGCGTCCCTGGCATGTCGCACCGCAGCCAGCGTCCCTGGGACTGTGGCTGCTTTTCCCTGTCAGTTCCAGGATTTCATTGCTCCACCAGTGGAAAAACTGGAGCAGAGAGAAGGGAAGCAGCTTTCCCAAGGCCCCCCGCTGGGCAGGAGGCAGGCACGGAGCAGGGTGTCTCCCACGTCCCAGTCCTGTGCCGCAGCTCCTTGCCCCGGTGCTTGGGGCTGTGCAGGCAGGAGGTGTCCCTGCAGCCGTGCCCCCGGCAGCCCGGCCTCTCGCTGAGTGTCCCCGTCTCGTTTCGCCCTAGGCCACCAACGGCGGAGGAGCCTTCAGTGACTACTCCTCCTCTGTGCCCTCCACCCCTAGCATCAGCCAGCGAGAGCTGCGGATTGAGACCATTGCTGCCTCCAACACGCCCACCCCCATCCGCAAGCAGTCCAAGCGGCGCTCCAACATTTTCACGGTAAGCCACGCGGGGCTGCGGAGCGCTGGGGTGCGTCTTCGGAGGCCGGGAGAGGGGAAGGGAGCAGGTCCACGGCAGTCTCGCCCCGCAGGCTTTGGTGCGCTAGGCTGTAGGTGAACCTCTCTCTGCTGGCCAGGGAGGGCCAGAGGCGCAGGGGGTGCAGGAGGGAAGGAGCCTTCTGCATGTGTAGGTAGCACCGTTCCTGGGGTGTGCATGCGTGCGTGGGTGAGCGCCTGAGAGCGAGGGGTGCGCACGGGGCACGCTGGTGTGTGTGCAGCGTGCGCGTGAGCAGAGCTCTGATCGTCGCTGGGCAGAGCTGCGCCCTGCGTGTGCACAGCACCAGCGACCTCTGCTCTTCCTCTCCTTGGGCCGGCGTCCCCAGAGCGTGGCGTGAAGCCCCCGCTGCTGGGCTGTGCCAGACGGCGCTGTGCAGAGCCCGGCACGTGGCACCGGGCCCCTCGCTCTGGTACCCGAGCCCCACGCCCTGTGACTTGAGCAGTGCGCCTGGGAACTGCCAGGGGGCAGGCAGGGAGGGCAGCGGGGAGCGGAGGCGTTAGGGAGGCAGCGAGGCCGTGGCGCCCCAGGGTGCAGGGATGTTTGCAGCTGTTACCTGCTGGCTGAACCGCAGCCTGCCTCTTGGCATGCTCTCACACCGTGCACACACCCGTGCACAGAGTCCTGCCCACAGACTTCCCCCTGCTGTCAGCACAGCCCGTGAGCTTCCCCTTGCTGTTAGCACACACGTACTCTCAGTCCCGTATCTAGGTTAGCTGTCCCCTGCTCCCCACAGAAACGTGCTCCTCTCCCCCTGGTACCCGCCTAAATGTGCCGGGCTGAGGCCCTCTCTCCGCCCCATCTCAGTGTGCTTTCCAGCCACCATTGCTCAGTCCACCCGTGTCTGCTGTCTGTGGAACTGGCCACCAGAAAGTCATTGTTCGTGTTGCACCACGCTGCCCCGTGTGATCAGCTGCCGTTGCTCCACCCCCAGATCACCCTAATTCACGCGCCCCATCCCTCTCCCTGCACTATTGGCATCCCAAATTCTCCCGGCTCCTTGTGCTGGGAGTGTGTCCATCTGCCCCAGCTTCTGACATCCTGGAAGCTTCTGCTCCGATGTCCTGAATGCTCTGTGCGCTCCCCATTCGCCTCTCCCCCCCGTCCCCTTCAGTGTGCACGTGCTCCCAGCCCCCCCTCCGCACGTGCCCGCCCAGGTCCCTGCGCTGCCTGGCGGGGGGTTTGCCCCCAGCCTCCTCCCCGCAGCTCACGCCCTTTGCAGCGGCCCCGTGGCTCCGCACGCATGGTTGTTCCCTCACTGCTCCTCCCCTCCGTGTGCTCACGCCCTGGCAGTGCCCTGCTGTCGGTGGTCACGCTTTCTGTTGCACTCGAGCGCTGATGGATGCTGCTCCTCCCTCCCCGCCGTTTCTCTCGCTCATGCTTGCCGCTGTGCACCGGTGCGCGCGGGCGCTCATGCACTGCTGCCACCCATCCTGCTCGCCTGCGCGCCAACGGGTTCTGGACTCGCCGTCAGCTCATGTTCACGCTCTCTTGCTCCTCCTGGAGCCTGTCAGTGCCATGCTCAGCTCACTGGGGTGGGCACACGCTCATGGGGGGAGGAGGGCTCGCTGCGGGGCTTACGCTTATTTGCTGTGGACGTCACCATCCGTCTAGGGCTCTCACTTGCTCACTCATTCTGGGCTCAAGCTTGCTCACTCTCGCTGTGGGGCTCACCTGTGCTCATCCCGGGCTCGTGCTCACTTGCCGTGGTGCTGGGGCTCCCGCTCACTCGCTTGCTCTTGTGCTGGTGCACACACATGGCTCACATTGAAGTCTTCACCCCATTTGGTTGTGGCAGCAGCAGCAGCTCCTGACACCTCCTCCCGCAGTGGGACAGGGCCAGGAAGAGCAGGGAAGAAGGGAAGGGAAGGCTTTTTCTGCCACTAGCTTTACCCAGGTGGGCAGCATAGGTGCAGCCTGCAGCCCCCGTCCCTGCGCCCCCGGGGGCTGCCCCGTGGGGGCTCGGCGTGGGGCAGGGCCGCGCTCCGCTCCGGGGGCAGCCGCAGCCCCCGCGGCCACACTCCCAGCCCCGAGCTGTGCCCGTCTCCTTCCTCTCCAGCCCTCCTCCTCCTCCTCCTGTCCTTCTCCTCCTCTCCTTTCCTCTCCTCTCCTCTCCCGCTCTCCGCGCCCCTGCTCCCGGCACGGGGGTCTGCGTGCCGGGACCACCAGGTGGAGACAGCCGCCCGCCCGAGCCCCCACCCCGACTGCTGCTGCCGCCGGCTCCTGCTCCGTGGCCTGTCTGTCTGCCTGTCCGCTGGCGCCCCATCTCTGACAGACTCGTGTCCGTGTTCTGAGTATAACTTGCCAAACTCTTTATTCTTTCGATATTTGCAGATATGTGCCACTGTTTCCAACTTTTCATCAACAAAAAGGCCTTTCCAACTCCTTCCAAATTAGAAGATCCAGGTGGTTACACACGGCACCTCTGTACAAATTCTCTCACTTTTCATTGCCTCTCCAGGGCCGGATAAGGGATGGGCACTGGGATTGATCTAAGATTAGAGGCTCGCCCGCCCTCCAGCCAGCATGGGTCCCCCCCTCGGAGACACGCAGGAGCCTTTTAAATCCCCCCAATGTAAAGTCTAGGAAGCGCTGAGACGGCCTGCGCCTGCACTTTAAGCTGGGACATTTCTGGGCCTGCTGGATGCTGTCTAGGCACTTTCCATGCTCGGGGATGCCAGGCGGACGACCCTCATGGGATGGGAAGACCTGCAGACCCGCCGGGACCGGGCGACAGCAGCGAGTGGAGCTGGATGGGCCAAAAGACGCTTTGCTGCTGCCTGCGGGAGCTGCTGTTAGCGCCTGCGCTAGCACCCAGCTCCTTCCTCCCTCCTGCACCTCCTGCAGCCTGCATGGACTCCTGCTCCTCCTCCTCTTCCTCCTCGCAGCAGAGCAGCCATCTATGTCTCTTTAGTTTTCTTCTCTTTCAATCTCTTTGTTTTGTTCTGGGCCCAAAAGCCAGTGAATTGGTGTCCCAGGCGCGTGGGGCTCGTGTCCCTTTCTGATCCAAAGCACATGGGGCGCTCCCGGACTGAGGGGGTGTGTAGGACGCTCCAGAGAGACGCTGCCGCTGCCCTTCTGCCATTGTTGTGATTCTGAATGTATTGATTGTGCTCCATGCCGTGTATGACTTGATATTTTCCTCTGTCTTAAGCACTTTGAATGAGTTCTGCTCAACAGACTGTATATTTCATATTGTATTTATTGGAGTTTGCTCTCACCGCAGCCGCCTTCGGGGGCTGGCGGGTTTTGCTCTCAACTCTCTAGCCGTGTGATAGATATTTATTGTCCATGCTCTTTTGTAAGGGGCTGGTATCTCTGCCCGGTGACCTGTGCTACTTTGTATGGTGCAAGTGTGTTACCAGAATAAATCTGTTGGATTAGTAGAGGTGTGACTTCCTTTCACTGCCTTAGCCTCTCCTGCTTCCATCCATGCTCCACCTGCATCCCACGCCATCTCTGTCTGTCGCCATGTCCTGTGTGCCCTGCGGGAGGGGGGTCAGGTAGCCCCGTTCTGCTAGGACAGCTCTGCCGGCAGTTGTGGGGGGACAGGCCAGGCTGCGGGGAGGCCGGGGCTGGAGAGTCCCCCGAGGGGACGGGCAGGACGCCGGCTGCTCCGTGTGCGGGGAGCCCCGGCCTGGGGGAGAGAGGTTGCTCGGGTCTGCGCTGGCAGCCCACGGGGACGGCGGGGCCGTGCGCGTCCCCCCCGTCTCCCATCTCTAATGGACCTGTGTCTCTTCTCTTCCAGTCTCGAAAGGGCGCGGACCCAGAGCGGGAGAAGAAGGTGCCGGAGTGTAAAGCGGACAGTATCGGCAGCGGGCGGGCCATTCCCATGAAGCAGGTTCGATCCCTCCCCACATCCCCAGTCAGGGCAGGCTCCCTGGGTCGGGGCCGCGAGGCCAGGGGTGCCTTCGCTCGGCACAGGACACGGGGGTGCCTGGAGCAACCCGAGTGGGTGCCCGGGGACCTGCGCGCCTGCCTGGACCCGAGGGCACCCGTGCCAGGGTGCGGGGAGGGGGCTGCCTTGGCCTGCAGAGCGGCTCCAGCAGAGGGCATCCGTGCCCCGCGCCCGCTCCCCGGCCCCCGCGCAGCCCCCGCAGCCTCGGTGCTCTGCTCCTGCTCCGCTCTGCCCGGGTGCCCTCTGGCCGGAGGCAGGGGGCTCTGCTCCTGGTGGGCAACGGCAAAACGCAGCGAGCACGGTGCCCGTGAGCCCGTCTGTGTCAGGGGGAGGCAGCTGCTCGTCCCCGTTGGGCTCCTGGCTGCTGGGAAAGCTCAAGCCACCTGGAAGCGCCCCAGAGCATTGCCTGCCCCTGTCTGGCAGCCAGAAAGCAGCAATCGGTAATACCTGGGCGAGCGAGGGAGCCAGGCGGGGCGGGGGGGCTGCGTGGTGTTTCCACCAGGCTTTCATTGCGCTGCTGGCACGGCCGAGCTGCACACCGCCATGCAGCACCTGGCCGTGCCTGTGCCACGCGCTCTGTGCCATGCGCTCTGTGCCATGCACTCTGTGCCATGCACTCTGTGCCACGCACTCTGTGCCTGCTGCTGCGGTTCCATTTTTCTTCCCCTGGCCCCAGCTGGCCTCTCTCTGCCCTGCCCGTGTGCTGCCCGAGCTGAGCTGCTGTGCGCGCGGGGCCGGTCCCAGCTCTGTGTCGCAGGAACAGTGGGGTGGGAGGATGCAGATTCCGCGTCCTGAGTGGGTTCCACCTTGTGCTGAACATTCCCTGGGGAAAGAGACCTCGGGAAGCACCCAGGCAGGACAAAGGGTAATGGTTTTAAACTAAAGGGGTAGGTTTAGATTAGAAATTACTAAGAAATCCTTCCCTCTGTGGGCGGTGAGGGCTGGTGCAGGCTGCCCCCAGGAGCTGTGGGTGCCCCATCCCCGGCAGTGCCCAAGTCCAGGCTGGATGGGGCTGGGGGCAGCCTGAGCTGGGGGCAGGGGGCCCTGGGCATGGCAGCTTGCCCCTCTGGCCACGCTGCTCTCCCCTGATCCCAGCAGGGCCGGCTGCCCCTGCTCGCCCTGCAGGAGGGGCCATGGGCTGGAGGTGATGAGTGTGCCCGCTCCAGCACCTAGCTCCGAGCTGGTGGGTTACAAGGAGCACGGTCCGAGCCCCGTCTCCGTGCTGGGTGTTACGCCTGCTGGCTGCATGTCAGTATGGTGCAAGCTGGTTCGTGGTGGCAGTGCCTCTGTGCTCTGATTTTGAGTCAGCCCCGCGTGCCAGTGGGGGAAGCAGCGGCAGAAGTTGTGCAGCAGGGACGGGGAGGCTGAGTACAGCCTTGAGTGAGACCTGACTTGGCTCCCCCAAACCACACTGCTGACTGGAAAATTGGATGACTGCAGGGGGTCCGGTCTGATCCTGGAAGTATTTCCATGTCCTTTGGTCTCTGGGCCTTTGGGTTGCCTTTTCCAGGGTTTCCTTTCAACCAGCAGGGCAAGATGCTTTCTTTTCCTGCTCCTGTGTCTCTGTGTTGCTGACTGGGCTTGGCCTTGTCTGTTCTGCTGGAGTTTTCAGTGTTTCCGAGGCATTGTGGAGTCGTTCCATGCTGTAGGCAGAGCAGTGCTATTACCGCATTGAACAAGTGGAGACAGGCAGAAGCCTAGGTCTGCAAAAACAAGCATGTGCTTCGCTCCTGTGCCTCGCAAGAAGTAGGTGCCAAACAGCCCATCTGGTCCAGGACCTGTGTAAGTGGCCGGTCTGTACAGCAGCACCTCGCTGGCACAGCCCAGAGCAAAGTGCTGCCTCGGCAGAGCTGGGTCCCTGCCCAGGTTCAGGAGCGGTTCCTCAGGTAGCCAGAGCTGTGGGAGCTGGTTTGCAGAGGAGATCCTGGCAATGTTATTACAGGAGCCTTCACTGGTGCTGGGGTAAGCAGTGTTTTGGCTGTCAGAACGGGGGGCTCTGGTTTGTGTTAATGGTTCTCCCTCCCAGAGCTCTGTCGGGTTGTGTTGCACCTTGCTGGAGTTGCTGGGGCAGTGCTGAGGCCCCGGAGCACGGCTGTGACCTGGCTCTAGAGATACCTTGGCACTCGGAAACTGCTGCCTCCCACTGCTTGAATTTAATGGTTGTTCTGCAGTATCTCAGGAGGGTACAGAACTTTGTTCCTGAAGGAGGAAACAGGCCGATATCCTTACGCAGGCCGTGGGGCGATGAGGTTGGTGTGAACACAAAGCGCAGTGGTTACAGAGCAGTGTCAGAGTGCTGCAGGGCTTCACCATCCCTGCTGGGCCATCAGCCCCCTCCCAGTAACGCCCCAGGAGAGGGAGGTGACGTAGGTTCATCAGTGTGAATGGGAGCAGAGGTTCAGGGCAGGTGACGATTGCTCTGCTCTGATGTGGAGCTGCCCTTTTGGAAGCTTGTGGAGGTCCCATTGCTTGCCATCTCTTTGAAGGGCAGTGTAAGATCAGGGACTATGGTAAGATTCACATGTTGTGGCCGTCCTGCATGCTGTACAAGAGCAGAGAGCCAGTCACGCTGCAGTGACAGACATGCAGGATCCTCTGCCTCTGGCCACTCTCAGACTGTCACAGTGCTCAGCGTGTGGCTGCACTCAGTGCCACTCTCCATGTCACTGACACATGTTAAATGGTGGGTCCGGCGCTGTTTAACATCTTCCTCAGTGACATGGACAGTGAAACTGAGTGCAGCACCAGCACTGTGTGCTTGCAGCCTAGAAAGCCAGCAGTATTCTGGGCTGCATCCAAAGCAGCGCGGCCAGCAGGGCCGGGCAGGGGATTGTCCCCCTCTGCTCTGCTCTCATCAGACCCCATCTGCATCCCTGCATCCAGCTCTGGGGCTCCCAGCACCAGAAGGACAGGGAGATATTAGAATGAGTCCAGTGGAGGGCCACAGAGCTGATAAGGGGCTGGAGCACCTCTCCTACAGACAGGCTGAGGGAGTTGGGGTTGTTCAGCCTGGAGAAGAGAAGGCTCCGGGGGGATCTCATAGCGGCCTTACAGAGCCTACAGGGGGCTGCAGGAGAGCTGGGGAGGGGATGTAGGGGTAGGACAATGAGTAATGGCTTTAAACTAAAAGAGGGGAGATTTAGGATAGATATAAGGAAGAAATTCTTTACTCTGTGGATGTGAGGCACTGGAAGAGGTTGCCCAGAGAAGCTGTGGGTGCCCCATTGCTGGAAGTGCTGAAGGCCAGGCTGGATGAGGCTTTGAGCAGCCTGATCCAGTGGGGGGTGTCCCTGCCCATGGCAGGGGGCTGCAATTAGGTGATCTCTAAGGTCCCTTCCAGCCTAAACCATTCTGTGTGCACTGCACGGCTGATGGCAACAAACGCTGTGCTTGGGGTGCTGCAGCCACCAGTAGATAACCTCGGGAGTGATTTAATTCCTCTGCTTGGAAGAAGAAGCCTGGTGCACGCTCAAATTGCTGAAAGCTGAAGTTGATGGACGATGTGGAGCAGTAGGAGGGGTAGGTGCCCTGTGGCTTCCCTGAGGCCGTGTCACTAAGACCAGTGACCTCTTCCTGAGCTCTGCGGGAAGAGGGCTGCATGCGAGGGACTGCGAGCACCCGTGTTTGGTGCTCAGAGCTTGGGGCTTCTGCCCAGCGCCCAGGCTGATGGCTGGGGGGGCTGACCACAAAGCCAGAGGCCAAGCTGGGTGTTGAAGAACAGAGACTTTGCTTGACTGAGGAAGGGCTCTCGGAGGACGTACGCTGCCATGGATGCTCTGCGCCGTGCTCAGGACCCCTTGGCTGGTGGTGTCCTTTTGGTTATACGTTCAGGAGGTCTTGCAGGATTGGAAGAGCTTTTCTGTAGCTGGACGCTTGTCTTTGAGAATTGGGTTAATTAGGCCGGGAGACTAAGCTTCCCCAGCTGTTTGTTACTAGGAATGAGCTCCTAATTGCACATGCACCAGATTCTTTCTGGGAATGCTGTACTGAGCGCACAGGCAGCCCGGGGGGGCCCAGGTCCCTGGCCCGGCTCAGTTTGGGCCACACACTCCAGCAGGGCCCAAGGCGGGTGGCTCCTCCTCCTTGGGAGCTGGGATCATGCTGGGAGCTTAGATTACATTTAAATTGCCATTTGCATTTTCCAATCAATACGCGACTTTACAATTAAGTTTGGTGTTAAAATTCTTAGCAAAAAGTGAGTGGAAGGGAGATTTGTGGAGTAAACGAGTCCTTTGGGGGCCATCGCTGCTCCCTGCTTCATTACGCTGCATATTGCTGCTGCTGCTTTTACTGAGCTCCACCACAAGCCAAACACAGCAGAGACGGGCGTGCTGGCCGACAAAATGCAGGGAGAGGAAGGCAAAGTGAGGAGAGGGAGAGAGGTGGGCTCTCGCTTTTCATCTCCGGCGGCTTCTGCCCTTCCCATAAGACTTCCACGCTTGGGAGGAAACCTGTGGAGGGGTCGCGCCTTGTGCAGCGCCCCGTGAGAAGCAGGGGGAGCTTGCGGAGCAGCAGCCTGGGCCATCTGCACGTGGCCACGGTGGGGGGGCCCTGCGGGGGTCCCGGCTGCCTGCAGACGTGGCCAGGAGCTGCACCAGGGCACCCGGGGCACCTGCATGGGGGGGACGAGGTGTGCCGCAGGGTTGTGCCTGCCCGCAGCACATCCTCCTGCGTGTCACCAGGCTTTGTCCTCCTCCCAACTTCTTGCTTCTCTTGGAGCTGTCGTGGGGGTTTTCCTCCACGAAGAAACAGTTCTGCAGGTGCTGCGGGCCAAACCTCCACTTTCTGCCATCAGAAATGAGAATCGTAGAACATCCCGAGTTGGAAGGGACCCGTAAGGATCATCGAGTCCAACTCCTGGCACCACACAGGTCTACCCAAAATTTTAGACCGTGTGACTGAGTGCACAGTTCTTAAGAAGCATTTGGACTTGAGAAGCTGGGTGGCAGAGTGGGTGACCCCGATGCAGCCAGCACAGCAACACCATTAACAACTGGAATCCTCCCGGCTGCTGTCCCCTGCCTTAATCTCTAATACGGCAGCAGAGAACAAGTCTAAGGGCTCTATCCCTTGATTCAGCTGTTTCTCGCAAGTGTTTGGCCTTAAGGGCCCCTTCCCCTCCCCCCATTTTATTAGATGTTTACTTAGACTGTGTAGTTGCTCACAATTTTGGATTCTTCTGCCTTCTGGCTTGAAAAAATTGGGCTGCCAGTGCTTGATTCTCTGTTCCCAGTCCTGGTTTTGCTTTGTGTGTTCAATTTGTGAAGTTCCAGGTTTGTAGCTGAACCAACTGCCGCTGAACTCTTCTCTGCAGACAACACATTTTGGGGGCTTGATAGTGATTGCAGCAGCCCGAAAACGTTGTGGTAGGTAGTTCTGTGGCACCAAGGTGTATTGAGCTGAAGACACCTGAAGGAGAGGAGAGGCAGCTGGAGGTCTTGGTTTGCAGGACGTGTTGGCAGGTCAGACTCTAGAACTGGAGCAATTTTAAAGCCAGAAGGGATCCTGGTGCCCATGAGCCAGGGAGCTGCCCCCAGTGACTTTGAGCCAAATTTGTGCCTTCAGTCTGGTCTAGAGCAGATTTGTTGGAAAGATAGACTGAAAGATAGGCGATTGACTCTGTGCAGTTTCTATGTTGCCTTTAAGTTTTCTGTTTTTGTGCTTTCCTTGGGCTCATTTAGGGAAGATGTTGACTAAATAGCATGAATGAAATACAGATCGGTTGGGCCTATATACAAATACTTATGCTGGACATGGGTTTGCCATTTCTGATTATTTGTCTTCTCATTTGTGGTTATATTTGGAGACCTTTCACTTGACCAAAATGTTTTTACTCCATGCATTAATGGCTGCATGGATTTTGTACAGCTGGATTTTAACGTGTGTGCTGCTCAGTTAACATCCTAAATAATGCTGTGTCAACACAGCCACCGTTGCCATCAGGTATTGTGATCTTACCGAAAGCAGAGCCACGCTTCTCTGATGACCTGTTTCCACGCTGATCAGCATTAGTTACACTGCTGTCCCCTCATTCTTTGCTGATCACTTCTTGTGGGGGCTTTTTGACCGTTTTGCCCAGTGTAAGCGTCTGGCTGGCTGGCCATAATTACAAGGGTCATTGCTTTTCCCCTTGCAGATCTTGGCAAGGCACGAGCTTTTGGACTGCTTCTACATTTTGAGGCATGTTAAAATCAGCACCTTTTAAACACTGCTGAGCAAGCTCTTCGGCTAATTCTCGGAGCTCTTGAAGGCAAGGGATCAGATCCTGCCACCAAAACAGCTCAGCTCCCACCACCCTGCCTCAGCCTCCCCTTGTACGAGTGGGAGGCTTTTCCTTTTCACACTGCTTGCTTCCCAAGCACTGAGCATAAGTGGTCATGGAGCACTTCTGCCTTTTCTGCATCATTTATCGCCGATTTCATGGTCGTGTCTGCGCAGCATTGTTACCCCAGCGTGTGCCAAACCCCACATTGTTTTTGTTGTGTTTTTCCATTGGGCAGGCGCAGCGGCCTCAGTCTCCAGGCAGTGGGACGAGGCCCCCAAATATGCCGAGGCTGGCAGGACAGAGACAGTCTGTCCAGGTTTTTGAGGAGGTGCTGGCCTGGGGCCCAGATTTTTGCCACCTTAGGAACAGCCAGTCTTGACGTCTGCTCAGACAGTGCTTTCGGAGAGCCCAGCCCCGGCAGTCGGTAGATGCAGTTTTTTTCCCAGACTCTTGTTATTCATCCATACTTTTGTCCCCATGCTGTCCTTTCCTCCCTGCCAGCAGAATACTTGATGTTCTCCCCTCGATCCGTGCTCCAGCACCCTTGTGCCTGGCTTGTGGCTCTGTCTTCGGTCTCCCTCCCCACCTCCAGTCTCACCTGGTACAGTGTCAGGTCCTGCTGGAGGCAGATGTCCTGGGGGGGCAGAGCTGTGATGGGGAGGAGGTTTCAGAATCATGGAATCAGAGAATATCCGAGTTGGAAGGGACCCACAAGGGTCATTGAGTCCAACTCCTGGGTCCCCAAAGGACCACCCTAAAAAATTAAAAAAAAAAAACAAAAAGCAGATCATATCTGAGAGCATTGTCCAAATGCTTCTTGAACTCTGGCAGGCTCGGTGCCATGACCACTTCCCTGGGGGAAGGTTAGGAGGTTGAAACTTCGAGTGATGGTTGAGATCCATGGGTATTCATTCTGGGTTGGGCTGGTAGGAAGAGGGAGCTTTTGTCGTACATGAGACCTCAGGACTGGTCCCATGTAACCTCCTAATGGGGAAGTGGGGTGAACAGACACCTCAGCTGCCCAGGACCTGCTCTGCCTCTGAAGTGTGTCCCTCGCTCCATTTGTTTGACACCTCTAAGGAAGAGCAACCCAAGCAGGCAAGGGGATATTTGTCCCTTGTGAGACCCACGTACTGGAGTGTTGTTCCCTTGCCTGTCCTAAATTATTCTTTCATTGCCCATCCACCAGTCTGTGCTTTTTACGACGGGAGGTGGCCTGGGAGCACTGTGGCAACAGACCAAGGATTATCAGCTGGTGGTGAGGTTAGCTCCTGCCTTGTGTTGTCACTGCTCTTCAGCATCAGAAGAGGTGCCCAGAGGGAGTGGTTTGGGACACGAGGGTGTGTGATGGATCCCTCTGAGGGCCTGGGGTTCAGAGCTGGCACGTGGAGACCCTCATCTCAGAACAGCCGGGCTGTCAGGGGATACATGCTGGGGCTGGTGAGGGGACGGCTGTAGCCCTTTTCCTATGAGTCCCAGGGAAGATGCTGTTGGGAGACCAACCCAGATGTTTCTTGAGTCTCGGTCTTTGTGTCTTTTCAAAGATCAGGCTCCTACAAGGGGTGACTGAAGCTGAGTGGGAAATACCCAGATGAAACAAGGTCTGAGACTCTTGCTGCTTCTCTTTTAGGGCATTCTCCTGAAACGCAGCGGCAAGTCACTCAACAAGGAGTGGAAGAAGAAGTACGTGACATTGTGTGACAACGGAGTCCTCACCTACCACCCCAGCCTGCACGTAAGTACTGCACAGGAGCTGTTTGAGGAGCAGGGTGGGACAGAGCAGGCTCTCCTTCGTGCTGTGGCTGCTGCTGCAGGTCCTCTCGCAGATGCCACAGTTGCAGAGTTGCTTGGAAAGGGTTTGGCAGCCGATGAAAGCTGCTGACCCTGAGCAGGAGGTTCAACACGAGCCCTCAATAGGGCAGGCTTATACAGCAGAGTTGTTTTTTATCAGTCTGGAGAAAAAAACGTTCCCTTTCATGAAGGCTGTCTCTGCTGTGCCAGGCTGGGTGGGAAAAGCTGATAGGAACATGCTCTGCACAGAACTGTGCTCAGTGAATGCATCTTGCTTTTCTGTGTTTCCCCGGCTCAGCCCATTAAAGCAGAGGCTGCTGCCTCCCTGCATCCGGGGTGAGGAACAGGCAGACAACTCCTTGCAGCCACATCTGATGGTGCCATTTGGGTGTGGAATAATTTTCCTGGCTGCTAGGTATTGGGTAATGGAGATGAGGTGCCTGTGCAGAGCCTGCCGAGCTGAGCTGTCACTCGATGCATCTCTGATCCTCTTCACTGCTTGGCTCAGGCACACAGCTGCCTCCCCATCCATCTCTGTCGCCTCCCCACTGTGGGGCTAATGACTTCTTCCCCATTCCCTCTTGAGCACAGTTTGCTGCTGAGACAGTGAGCCGCGGACAGACACACCTGTGACACCAAGACCACAGCACCCTCTGCAGAGGACGCGCTGCAGCGGGGCGGCCGGGGGGCACGGGGGGCACGGGGCAGGGCTCGCTCCCCGGGCGGCTGAGCGGGGCAGAGAGCTGGGAGCTGCAGCTCCTGTGCTGTTCAGTGCCCCCAGCTCCTTGTGTGTCCCCGATCTCCTCAGACACGTACATGTTTGGGTGCCCTGAGCCTCACAGGCTTCCTCCTGCATCTCTGGTTCATGGGCTTGTGACCCTGAGCCTTCCGACCCTAATAGCCTCATGCTGGAAATTGCATGTCCTTTCCTTAATTCAGGAAAGCTTTGAAAATACTTGTTTGGGTTTTGTTTGTCTGGTTGTTTCCTTTTAGTCTTTGTTCCTTTTACCATACGGTGTGGTTCTGCAGTTCCCTAACTTTGCAACCCCATTTTTTGGTCTTTATAGACCCAAACTGGGAGGGAATGACTGCTGCTGTCTGCTCTCTGTGCGTGCTCACACACGGGTATGGTTTATCAGGTTTCTGACATCGTAGGGCATTGTTTAAATCAGCTGTGGAGGCAGAGTGATTGCTGGGATGTTGTTTAACTGCGCTCAGCTGATGCCGCTGCACACCAGGTTTGTCTGCTCTTTACACCGTTTGTTCCCCAGAGGGTGATCTGGTTTGATGTCACTTGCTTTCCTTAGTTTGCTTCTTCAGTGTTTCATTTCATTATGGTGTTGCCCCAAGCAAAAATCTGTTTTACTTCTCCCTGGTGCAACTGGTGATCCACAACCCATTGCTAAGAAAGGTACAAGATGGGCCTCTCCGCCCCTCGATTTCACCGAAAGCTCTGCACCTTGCACCAAAGTAAGTAATGCCCTGTGTGTTCCCCTGTATCAGGGACTGGTTACTTGTGGGCCACAGAAAGCAGAGCTGCTTGCTGCCCAGCTCTGACTCCTGCGAGGACAGGAGATCTGCGTGCTCCCTCCTTGGCATTGCCTCCCTGAGAACCGGGGAGAAGACGGATGGCACCCACAGCTGTGTTGCGTTTTTTTGGGATGCGGACAAGCTCAACCGGCTTGGAGGGCTCAGATGCAGGAGGGCAGCCTGGAGCAAGAGGTGCTTCAGAAGATGTCCCGTTTTCTAGTGTGAGTTAAGAGATGCTGCGGTGCTTTTCTGTCTCCAGTGGCACGAAGCAGGTTTCCGTGCCCTTTGACAAGATGTCACAAGCAGAGCACGTTCAGGTTGAACAGCCTGGGGCAGTAGCAAAACCTCTGCTCCCAAGGAAGGGCGTGTGCTGCTTTGGCACTCCCGCTTGTGGCAGCAGCTGTTGGTCCAGCAGGCGAGAACAGGTATATGGGATCCTCAGTGGGGGAGGCACACGGCATCCTGAAGGTCCCTGAGCCCTGTGGGCCCCCTTTTCCTGTCCTTGCTCAGAGTCAGCACGTACTGCCACGTGCCTGGAGGCGGCAGGATTCAGGGGGCAGCAGAGGGGTCCTTGAGGGGATGGGTGAGCACAAGGGGTCTTTCCCAGCCCCTCTCAGGATGTTCAAGCCCCAGAGCATTTCTGTGCTGCATTTGTGTTCCCAGTGGCTTTTCCTTGGCAGGATTCAGGGCAATCCCTGCCTCGCATCTCTTCTCTTCCATCTTGTTTCTGTCCTGTCCCTGCCCCGCGTGGGATGGGAGGAAGCACCACAGGGGTTGGCAACCTTTTATTTTTTATTTCAGTGGAGATGTCTGCTCCACGTGTGTCTGTGCCCCATTGGGTGAAAATTGCAGCTCTGGCTGGGTCATACTTCTGATTTCACCACCCAAAAGCTTCCTGACAGGGCTATTCATCTGCTTTTGAGTGTTTATCACTGTACTTGCTTCAGGATCTGTATCTCGGGACTGGTGGATGGGGAGTGCTCAGGGAGCTGTGTCCAGCCCTGACCAAGTGCTCTGCGCCTTGGCAATGGAAGCGTGTCAGCCTCGGCTGCAGGCTCAGACCTGTGCTCGGGTCCGAGGGAGCTGTGCGTCCCTGCTCCCTGGGCTGCCTCCTTTCTGGAGCAGGCGGCAGCGTTACAGACCTTGCAGCTGGAGCTGTGGGCAGCAGCTCTGCCTGGAAGTAGAAGTGGCTGGGGGCCTGTTGGCTGGGTTCAGCACAGATTTCCTCATTGCATCTCTATTTCTCTTACCTTTCCGCGCGTGTGTTAAGCGACAGGAAAAGAACAAGTTTTATGAGAAGACTGGTGCAGTTTCGTATCACTTCCCCAAAGCCTTGGAGAGTAAGTGCTTCTGCTCGTGAGGAAGGCGGATGTGGTTCAGCCCAGCTTCACTGGCCAGGCTGTGCTGTGCTGCACGGAGCTGGAGAGAAAGCATCTCCCATTTTGCAGCCAGTGGAGCCATTCACACAATCACCTTCTGTTAATTCTATCTGCAACATCAATTAAATTGTTTGTAGAAACTAATTGAATGTGGCTTAATCACACATCTTAATAGCTTTCCACGCTTTGAACTCGTTGTTAATTCCAGTAATAAAATGAAATGAGAGAACTGGCTGGGTAATTAGCGAGGAGGCTTGGGAAGAAATTGCTGTTTTATAGCATGTAATAAAAGCAGTGCGCTGGTGACCGCTCTCTCCGGCAGGCAGCCGGCTAGCGCAGCAATTGTGCTGAGTTAGGGAAAATCCTCCAGCCCCTCCGAGATTCCCTGCCCAGGGGTGACACCGGGCTCCCACCCAGCCAGGAGCAGCTTGGAGAAGCGTTTGCCTGGGATGGTTTTCTAGGAACTGCCCGGGGCACCAAAGGGCACGTGCGTGTCTTGACTGTCTTTTAAGGTCAAGCCACCCAGCAGTGGGAAGCACAGAAGGGTGTGCTGCAGTGCTGCCACGTCTCTTGGATGTGCACTGAGAGCTGGGTGCCTTCACAGGGGTCAGCAGAGAGAGAAGAGTTCAGAGCAAGACCCTGAGGTGTTGCTGAGCAGTGGTAACCCATGCAGGCAGCCACCTGAACCGCAGCACTGCCTGCACAGCCCTCTTTACCCGCTTCTTGGAGTCCAGGACTGGGGGAACGGCTGCTCTTAACCGATCTTCTTCATGCCTTTATCTCCAGTTTGGAAGCAGACAATTTACACAGGCACCAGCTCCAATTTAATCCTCTTGGTGACCTCCTTGTGAACTGGAGCAAGCCCAATGCTCTGCGGCAGCTGCGGCCTCACCCCACACGGTTGCTGCCTCTCATCTCCCCATCGCAGTGTGCGCCCCCAGAGCAGGGAGCCAGGGTGCCCGGACCCCACGCTGGGGTGAGCCCGGGGAGCTCCCTGCAGAGCCCTCGGGGCTGGGCTGCTGCTCCCAGAGAGCCAGGCAGGGCCTCGGGCTCTGCAGAGGTCACAGTGCCCTGGGCTTTCCCATCCAGGAGCATGGGGGGTGCTAGGGGAGGGCTGCAGCGTGCTGCGGGGCAGGGGAAGGGGTGGAAGAAATGGGGCAGGACACGGCGCTCAGGACTGGCCACAGGTCTGCAGGCTGGTTTTGATTAAAAGGCGAGGTACTTCTAGGAGGCAGAACAACATTCACAGTCTGCACATGGAGTTCTTGGCTCTGCAATAGCCTTCCAGAAGGAAAGGTGAAAGCACCAAGTCTGGGGTAGCTTAGAGCCACGTAGGGGAATGGATGAGAGAGTTGTGCTGAGTTGTTTTATCTGGGCTTGGATTTCAGTAGCTGGGACCTGAGAGGGAATTTCTGGTTATCGCATTACCTGCACTGGTGTGGTACATTATCAGCAGCTACGTCTGAGTGTTGTGATTAAAACGACAATGAATGACAGGAAGGAAGAACTGCCTGCCACCGATGTGCTCTTCTGCACCATCTAGTCTGATCCCCGGCCAGGTTTTCACAAATGGCCGGGTCATAGCCTCTGAGTGCCCCTGGCAATGTCCCAGCCTCGTTCGGTGAGAGCTGACGGGGTCTGGGTGCTGGAGGCGATGCCTGGTGCTTCCCTGGGGCCAGTCCCAGCTCCCTAGCTCATCATGGGAAGGAAGCAGATCAGTGCCTGGGCTGTGCCTGGGCTTTGCCTCCGTTCTGTCAGAAGACGTCTGGCTGCGGACGCTGGCAGAGTCACAGGGGCTGCTGCTTCTGCCCCACCTGGCTTGGTGCTCCAGCGTAGTGCAAGGAAAGCAGCACGTGCTGAGCTCCCGGCACCTCCAGGTTGCTGGCTCTTAACCAGGAGCCACGTCGATAGTTGGAGCCGGGTTCTGGCTTTGATTGAGTGAGTGAGAGGGGAGCTGAGAGCAACTGGCCAGGGCAGGGCTGATCCTGAATCTTTCTGCCTCTCTGCTGCAGGACTACATGCAGAATGTCCATGGGAAGGAGATCGATCTGCTGAGAACCACCGTGAAGGTACCGGGCAAGCGGCTGCCCAGGGCAACAACGGCGGCGGCGCCCAGCGCGAGCCCCAAGGCCAACGGGCTGGCAAAGGAGCGGAGCAGCACGCAGCTCACGGGAGGCACAGGTAGGAGCTGGTGTGGGTGCAGAGCTGGGGCCAGCCCGCACCACTGGCAGCGCCTGGCGGGGCTGAGCCAGCAGCAAAAGCAGTTTTGGAGATTCTTTCTGGATTTTCTTGCTGTCACCGCTCTCTGAGTGCCTTGGAGCGGTGTTGGCATTGCTGTGCACAGCTCAGGTAGGCTGCCCGCTGGGGCTGCGCTGGGAAGTGTACAGGACAGGAGGGAGTAACAGGGCTCTAACCACCTGCACGAGCTCCCTGAGAGGAGGCAGCCAGTCCCATGAGCTGCTGCGCGTGGAGGGAGCTGGTGTTCCCTAAAACCAGGGAAACCCCTGCCAGGGATGTCTCCTGGTCCCTGCAAAGTTCTGCTCTCTTCCTCTTGTGGTCCCCTTTTCCTTCTCGCTTTTCCCTGGGGACGTAGTGATGTGAGGGGGGTGTTCTGTGAGTTCTGTCTTCCCATGTGCACACTTAAGAGGCACAGCTGCCTCCAAGCGTGGGGAGCGGGAGGGGGCAGGCCGGGGGCTCCGTCTTTCTCCTGGAGCTTGTGCCACGCTGCCTCTGCCCCTCCTGCCCCAGGAGGTATCACACCCTGCCCCGGGGAGGTGTCGAACTTAGAGATGTCCTTCCTGAACTTCCAGGGCATTGACAAGTCTCTGCTTTGTCCTTGGGGTACCCTGGCCCCGGACAGAAGGTTTCCTCATGCATTCTTCTTCCCAGAGCACTGCTGGCAGTGGTCTGTTAGGGCAGAACACGAGGATCTCTCCACTCTGCAGGGTAACGGGGAGGTGCTGATAATGCTGATAATGGAAATCCGTGATAATCTGGTGCTGTGCACTGTGCCACGGAGAGGGGAGTTGGGTCACCCCATCCTGGTTTCTGCTCAATGCTCCGCACCCTGGTTGTGTCCTGTGGCTGTGCCTTGGCACTGTGCTCCCAGCTCCGGGGCTGAAGGGAGCAGCAGGAGCTGGCTGGGGTCTGCAGCATCACGCTCAGCACAGGCAGGGGCACGTGCTGGTGTTGCTGCCTTCACGTGGTGCCAGCTGTGAACCCCTCTGAACCCATAGTGCTGGTTCTGTAGAGCCAGGCTTGGTCTGCAGCTCAGATGAACTGCCAGCGAATGACCGCAATTACTCTATTTTTTGACCAAGGACGTGCAGCTGAAAATTCTGCCTGTTTTCTGCCACTGCTCTCCACTGTTCATTGTCATTTCTTCACCACCACCTCCGTACACCCTCAGCATGCACGAGTTCAGTAGCAATTGCACGTAGCACTTCTCAGACGCGTTTCTAGGGTGCTCTGTCTGATGCTGGTACTTACAGAAGGTTATCAGAACTGCAGCAAGAATCAAAGGCAAAACGCAGAGAAGCTTCTGGTGATGTCAAACCCAATGTCCGTGTCACCCTGTGTCCTGCTTTCAGCAGTCATCCCAGCCCTGTTGGGCTCACAAGAGCAGATCGAGATGTGACGTGATTACTGATCCTGCTGCTTGGAAAACCAATGCCTAGAAGAAAGCTCAGTGCGGGGCCTTTCGGCCTGGCTGACAAAGCTTGAGGAGATGCAGTGTCTGGAGGCTGACGTTAGAGCCATTTAAACTTGAGAGGAGATGTAGTTCCCTTACAGGGAGGGTAATTAAACATGGGAGTGGTTTATCTGGGGAGCTGGTGGACTTAGCACTGCTTGAAGCCTTTAGAATGAGATTAGTTATCTTTCTGCAAGTTATGCTTTAATCCAACTCGCATGTGTAGCTGCATGCATGCGTGCAGGGGATCACACTGGATAGGTACAATGGTTTTCCCTCTGGTCTTCCCTCACATAAAAGCCATGAATTTGAGATTCTCTGGTCACTGCCTTTTCCCTGGGCCCCTGAGCAGAGCATCACTACCGTGCCACCCAGAACACGTGTCAGCATGGACCCAGCATTAAGACAGAATCTGAATCCGGCTTTTTGTGCCTTGGCTTTGGGTGGTGGTTGTCTGCAGTGGTCAGAAAGGTTTTTGTGTTGTTTTTTTTCCTCCTGGTACACAAGTGGTAGGATGTTTTCTAAGAATATTTTTCAACTTACTCTTATGCCTCCAAGCCTTACTGCAGCTCACAGTTCAGTCCCCATGGTAAGTGCTCTGACATGATAGAAATCTTTGAGGTGACTCGCTCGTATCCTTGTGTGATGCAGGGTGCTGGATTTGGGATCAGTAAAGAACCTGCCCTGCCTCAAACTGGCAGGGACTGTGCCCCTTTGCTGCCTGTGGGACCAGGAGCAGGACTGTTACTGCTGAACATTTCTCTTCTAATACATGTTTTGGTCAGCTGGAACATCTCAACATTTCCAGTTTTCTGCCAGTGCCTGGAATATTGGTGGATTTGATCAAAGTTTTGGAAGTTGATTACTGAGAACTCTGAGGATTCCTGGGCTGTCCTGGCAGAACGGCCTCTGCTTTTCTGTGCTTTTTTCCCCTTCAATTTCCAACTAGGATGTCCTCTTAACCTTAATTCCTGTATGAAATTTTATTGGTAAAGAGACAAACAAGAGGGACCAGGCAGGCTCTGTGCCGGGCAAGGAGGAGCGACCAACCTGTGCGCACTGCTGTGCACCCAGGCTGCTGCAGGATCGGAAACAAAGACCCCAGGGGCTCCCGAGTCCCACTGTGAAGGGATCCCTTCAGTGGCACAGATGTGCTGGGGACAGGGACAAAATCATTTGTGCCTTAGAGCCACCCCTCCTGTGCTCGGGATGGGAGGCTGCTGGATGTACGTGCTCCACCTTCCAGCAGTCACCATCACAAGGCTCATCTGATCAAGTGTCCTGCACCATCCTCCCTCCTCCAGGAAGCCCAGTGGCCTTATCCTAGGAGATACGTGGGGAAGAAAGGGCACCTGGCACTGGGTTCTTCAAAAGCTGCAAGTGCACAGGGAGAGGGAGAGAGAGAGTGGGAGGGAGGGAGGAAGAGGGGGAGAATTCCCTTCATGCATGTCTCTGAGCAAAACGTCTCGTCACCGAGATGAGAATATATTGTGGCTGATGTGCATGAAGGCTGAGAATATGCTAACGGTATCGGTGATAAGCAGATAGAGAGAGTAAATGCTTCTTGTGATTTGTAAAATGTTACTCCTAATACAAAAACAGTCCGGTAAGTGCTTGGGGTAGCAAAGGGACCAGCTCCTCAGTGCGCCATTAGGGTTGCACAGGCACGAAACGGGAGCGTAGTCAGACCCTGCTAGAAGGAGAGTGACACCACGGACAGCCTAAGGTTACATGGAGAAGCACACCACAGGGGAGATGGGGCTGTTGTCAGCTTCTGTATTGGCGATAGGGTCCGGATCAGTTAGCTGCCTGGTGCAGGGAGGGGTTGTGTGGGGCTGGGCAGGGGCTCAGGCACAAAGCGAGCTTGCTGGGTGATGCTGACTGTGTTACTGCTTTTACCCTTTGTGGCAATTTCTTTCTGGACGTGGAGTGAAAAGTCAGATGTTATAGTATTGGTGAATCCTCTCACTTTACAGTTAAGCATTCCTTATTGCTGGGGCAAGATGATCTGGGTTGGAGAACTGAGCGTGTTGCACATCTGGAGGTGGCGAGTCAAAACGGAGCGGGGAGCACTGGCACCAGGGGGACACCTGCGGGTGTGAGATGGGAGGAGAGCCCAGCTGGCTCCTGGGGAGGCCTGAGGATCTGTGTGAAGGGGGCCGGTGCTGGTGTCCCTCTGGCAGGTCCTGTGGAACAAGGCACGTCCTTAGGTGCATGGCCATGTGCATCGCGTGGCCCGTGCCAAAACTCCTCTGCATTGTCCAGCTTTCCGTGTCTGAACCTCATATTAAAAGATCTTTAGTTTTCTTTTTTTTTTTTTTTCCTTTTACACCTTTTGTGGTACAGTTAAAAGACAAATCTTTTTCTGAAAAGCAGACCTCGTGGGCTTAACACGCCTCAGCAGTGGATTGATGCCACTTGATGCAGTGCGGGTCTGGGTCAGCTGAGTGCTGTGACCCTGGCAGAAGGTGGGCGTCACTGCCAGCAAGGTGCTCGGCTGTGTCCTGAACAGGTAGGGCATGGGCTGTAGGAACAAGGCATCTGTTACAAAGCCAGTGAATGTTGCTCCTTTTTTCCTGACCTCTCTTTTGCCTGTGCTGTCCTCCTCTGTGAGCTTTTCCAGCTCCCAGCCATTCCTTCCTGCCTTCCCCTCTTACTGGTGACTCCATCTCCTGCTCGTTTTACCTCTTCCCCAGTGCTGTTTGGCAGCTGGCGATGGGCACCCCGGGCACAAAAGAGGCATTGAGGTGCTCTCCTTCCCCACGCCTGGTGCTACAGCACTGGGTGCCAGGAGAAGCAGTGGCAGCAGTCGTCCTGCTCATGCTGCAAACCAAGCTGCATGAAAAAAGGCACATATATTTATCCTGTTCGTGTCAAAGCCTCACAGAGACTTTGAAGAATCCACCTACTTATCTCATTTTCTACAAATAGAAATGAGACCGCCAGAAGCACCTAGGTTAGTCAGAGCATCCCTGCGCCTGGGTTTCTGGGTTGGATGTGTCCTAAAAAGACTTTCTTTGAACTGCTCGTAAAAGTTCTTCCCAAGTGGTGAGAGCTGTGGAGACTCCCAAAGTCTCACAGAAAAGGCACCAGTGGGTGCTGGTCTTTGGAGAAAGTTGAGAAAGGGTTCTTGGCAATTACTGCTCGGTACTGTACACCCTCGGTCGGGTGAAGTAGTGCTGGCTGTGCTCCAGGGGTTTAAACTCCTGTTTTATTGGATGCTCCAAGCAGGAGCAGCTCCCCCTGACCGCAGCCGGAGCTCAGCCCTGCTGCCCCGTGGGCTCCTGGCACGCAGCCGCACATGGACACGGGCAGCACTGGCAGCACCTCCTGCAGCGTGCAAACCCAGCAGTGTCTGGGTTGGAGAGGGTAGGAGCAGAGTGTGCAGATCTCACCCACAGAGCCTGGGAATGCTGCTCCCGGGGTATGAATCGGCTGAGAGCGTGCAGCCTGTTTGTGGCACACGTGGCAGTGCAGGTTCAGGTGTCTC